TGGAGCTATTTCTATTCCGCGTACCACAACTCTCAGGACTCAAAGCCAAACTACCTCCGCAATTTAATGAGACGCTGGGCGTCTCTCACGCTAAAGTGTATTTAGTGGACGACACTCTCGTGCTTAGTGGCGCAAATTTGAGCAACGATTACTTCACCAATAGACAGGATCGATACGTGCAATTGACAAACTGTGGGGCGTTGGCACAGTTCTACCATCAGTTCGTACAACTGGTTACCGGTTTTTCGTATAGAGTCAAACTGGAATCGTTGACATCCGCCAAGAGCGACTACAAGTTGTTGGCACCTCAACTGGCTCACGACTCGGAGGCCGCAAAGACGGCAATGCGACGCGATCTCGAGAAGCTAGTGGACCCAAGTCAGTATCAGCAAGATAAAGACGACGCACGCACCGATGCGTGGGCGTTTCCAACGCTGCAATTTACACCAATCTCCATGGACCACGATGAGCGTGTGCTAAGTGAGTTTGTGCGGCAATTACCGCGTGGTTCGCAGCTTCAAATTGCGTCGGGATACTTGAATTTTCCTCCGTTTCTAAGTGAATTATTGGAACACTGTCAAGCTGGTTTAGACGTGATTTCTGCTGCCCCACGAGCGAACGGCTTCTACGACGCACGTGGCGTGAAAGGAGCGTTGCCTATGGCTTATTCTCTGATCGAGCAAGACTTTTTTGAACGCACTCTTAGCCGTGAGTATCCAACAGTGCTACGGGAATTCAACCGACCAAACTGGACTTTTCACGGCAAAGGCATGACGAGTCGAACCACTCCTCGTCGCTGTCGACCCCCTCTTCACTATCACTCGCCCCTCCTCCGTGGCGCGGCGGTCGCACCGCCGCTTTGACGCGCAGGTCGGGCGCCATCTGCTGCTGATTTGCCCCCGCTGCAAAAATGAGTGGGGGGGGGGAAGGTATACGCTACACGAGGTATACCCGCAAGCCGGATGCGGATCTCAAGCCCTCCAGCACCGTCCCATGTGCACCAGCACTCACTCCCTTGATATTAATGCTTCTGATAAAAGTACAGAAAACTTAATTGTTGTCGCTTACCGTAAAATGCGGCCGGAGTGAGACAAACGGGCGGAATGCAACAGCATCAATAATTACATGTATTGATGAACACCCCTCTTGCTTAAATACCTGTAGTGGGTCTCGATAACTCGAACACACACGAGGGAAGCTGGCGCTTCCTGTTAACCTTGGTTGTATTGCTTGCTAGCCGGTAGATTTCAATCTGACTAAACTAAGGGAACGTTATGTATAGAGCTCGCTAGTAGTCCTCGTACATGTACTTCTATGCCAGCTTGGCCTCACGTTCTGTGCGGCCCAGTGCAGTGGACAAGGCTTGGACTCAACCAACCACTACAATAAGTAGTACTTAAGATTAAAAGGATTATTGAACGTCCTGTTCATATTTAATGTAGTTGAAGCATTCGTGAGATGGCAACATTTCCCAGCGTTTTCTAAACGCGTTGGGTCCATGCCTGCACGCATGTAAGCGCGGTCCATAAGGAGGGATGTCACAGCTGTCAGTCCTGTACTAAACCTCATAAGATTTTTTTCTTTTAAATTAGGAATTTAAGCAAAAAATGTTGTCTCACTATTGTTAGCAAGCTAACCTTCAAGTGGGCCCACGGCCCAAACCTCCACGTCCCATAAAAAATAATATTTGTTGTGTGTTTCCATAAATTTACAGCTCTCCAATTTCCAAAAATAAATAATCTTGTGAGGAAATAGCTTATTGTTCGATAATGTTATTGACAATGCTGTTTTCGGAGGCCCTGCGGGATAAGGTGTACAATCCCTCAATTACCAATGCTAGCGTGGCCTCACGTTCTGTGCGGCCCAGTGCGTTGGACTGCGCCAGCCACTACATGTACAGGCACCCGATTCTGGATAATAGCACTTGAAAAGTAATAAAGTGTAGTGAGTCACAGTGTCCGAGCACAAGTCTTACGGCCTATTTTATATATAGGCCGTAAGACATGTGCAAGCTAGGCTATAAATTCAATGGGTTTATCATAAACTGTAGTATTGTCTAGAAGTTCAGCCATAGAAAAGCATTGACGGGGCGGGTAACCTGCACCAGAATAATACGGTCTCGTATTCAAGTTGCTTTATTTCTTCTGTCGCTACACAAACACTGAAAAATGGGACAAAGAGGGGAGTTCAAAACGAACTTCAGCTGTTGAACTACTTGTAGCTCTCTACTAGCGACAATCGTGTGGTCTTCGGGTGAGGCGTGCGTAAAATTCTACTTCTTCGTGGGTATTGTTTGGCGGTAATTGTCGTAACGCTTGACGATCATACTGACGTCATCGCCCGACTTGCCAAGCGAAGCGAAGTATTCTCGGACTTTGTCGGGGTGCATTTTCTTTCTGACCCAAGAGGGGAACGCAGCTGTAAACAGAAATTCATCGCTTTCGAATTGTTTGAACCACTTGTCAACGGCAGCTTTCCTTTTAGCCGCATCCTGGGCCTTCAGTGCTGCCTTTTGAGACGCCTTAAGTGCTTGTGCGTTTTTAAAGGCGCTTGTACCCGGAACAATCTTCTTAATCGACGCGAAGTTAATTGTCCTTTCTTCTTGGTTGCCGGTTTCCACAGGCTGTGGCACAGCATTCAACCGCAACAATCTTGCTGTTTCGTGAGTACCTTCACTGCTCTTGGGAGGTCCGAGTGCTGCCGCGGAGACTCGTCCATCAGGAATGATCGCAAATGCTACAGCCACCAAAACAAACGCTGCCAGTCGCATAGTTGGTGGAAAAGAGTAGTGGTGGGGTTAGTACCTTCGGGTAGAATTGCGAATGAAGTAAATGAAGGAAAAGGTGGATCACAAAGAGGCGAAACGCTCAAACACCTGGATCGAAAGAGCCAGTAAACAGTCCGTGTGCTGTACCAATTCGTATTACAACTGGCATGACACATCTAAGGATAATACATGTAGTACATAGTATGAACTACATTCAATTGACATTAAATGTGTCGTCTTGATATTAAATAGGCACTCGTTATTTTGCCCGACTGAGGTAACATAGCATCGCATTTTATACGTGTACAAATAGTAGAGTACGGTTAAATTGGAGTAAAGGTAGGACACTAGCGCGTTTGCACTCGTCTGCGGACTTATAGCCGTGGGCCCGCCCCTCTCTTCACTTGCTGCGCTGCGCTCGGGGGGCGCCGCTGCGCGGCCTGCCCCACCCCGGCCTCTAAGTCCTCGACTCGGCAAGGCGCTGTGTCTGGGATTAGAAATTAATTCCGAGCAAGTGTTGCCAAGACCGTCGGCTAAGTACATTTTATGGATGTTGGGGGGTATAATTGTATAGTCGGTTAGCCAGTCGGGCAAAATAGACAGAACATGCCGCCCCCGCGGTTCGCTGCGCTCGCAATGGATAGAATATTCTGGAAAGTGTTGTGCTCGGCTCGCTGGTGAGCTCAGCGCTGGGCCCGCCTCGCACCCGCTCACCTTAGTTGGCGCCGCGGCTATGGCAACCACCCCGTGTGTGTTGTCCCAGCGATGGACGTGTGTTTATCCTATTTTCTCGGCAAAATACTCACTTCCTATTAAATAGCATGAAGAAGTATGAATTCGTATTAATAAATAGCAAGAGCTGGCGACACATCTAAGGATATTCGTAATATCACAATACAAATGGAAATCTCTTCTGAAAATCGTCCAGTACTGTACTTTAATAAACCGGTACAATGTACAGTACTGCACCCCGTTTTCGAGTCCCTGGACCTTTAATAAACTTCCGGATTTGATGATCTAAAATAAAACAAAACTCAGCTGATTAAACTAAAATTTGATTTATTCGCAAAATTTATATAGTACACCCCCGCGAAACGAAGTGCAGTACTGTACCCTGCAGAAGTTCTACGGGAGCTCGAGGAGCCCAAATCTAAAATAGAGGTATTTGATGTATTCAAAAATGATCCAAAGGTCTCGCCTGTAGACCCTCATAAAATTGCAATGTCGTGAGCTGGGCCAAGAGAATGCGGTATGCCCCGCTCAAAAATTTACAACGGAGATGTATTGTAATATATCACGAAGCTATATTACGCGTCAGCTTTGCTAGTCGGTGGCTTAAGGTAGAGTAATACATCGACCACCCTAAATTTGGAGCTTTCCTTGATTTTCTTTTTGCAAAATGCATTTGGGTACATCATATTGGCCCTTTTCTAATTTTGGGTACCTCGAGCTCCATTGTTTTTCCCGTGGATTAAAAGCAGTTTAGGAGAGCCTACCTAATGTCATATCCCTTTCAGTCTGCATTTGCGCATTTCTCTTCCTCACGAATTGGAGCCTCAAGTTGGAGGTTCACCCTCCGCCATGACCTCCAACTGCTCCAGCTGTTAGACCAGAATGAAGCGTCGAACCCGATTGGGCAACGGAGTGGTGACAGCAGCAGCATCGACGACTAAGACTTCGCAAGATGGCAAAGCGACTTGTTGAAGTTCGACACGAGAGGTGCATTGAAGATTCGTGGCGACAAGCACAAGCGCAGAAGGGAGCGTGCTGGGCGGCCTGACAGGTGAAGCGCCCCTGGCAAGTGCATGCAGTGTAGTTAGTTTTTCTTTTCAGAGGACTCCCAATCAATCACTTTTCAACTCACCTTCTAGTGCGCACTTCCTCTCCTCCACCACTCGACCACCAAGTTTCCTCTGCGGCCAAGTTTCAACAGGTTATGATGTCCTCAAAATCGGCCGCGTCCTACACGACTAAGCTGAAGCTGTTCAACGGGACTGGGTTCCCAGCGTGGGGCGCCCAGGTTAAGCTGGTACTGGAGATCAAGGGGCTGTGGGATGCAATCCAGCTACCCATGCCCACGGAGCAAGATCTGAAGGTCGAGAAGGATCCAGCAGCGGCTGGGTCGGAATCGTCATCGGCGTCCGGGACGCCATCGGCTGCGGCAGCATCAGTGGCTGCTGTGGCACAAGTGAAGGAAGCAGTGGGAGAAACAACAACTCCGTTCCACGACCTCATGATCAGGCAAAAGATGGCCTCATCAATCATCCTCGCGGCGCTCGATGAAAAGATTGCCGCAGAAGTGTACCTGCTGGACCATCCGATGGCAATTTTGAGACACCTTCGCATGACGTACAACGTCAAATGCAGTGCTAGCGTTGGAGCTGCCAAGCGCGAGTATATCGGGCTGTACCTGGACGGTGACAATTCGATGATCGACCACATCAAGAACACGAGGCGTGTGATCGACGAGCTGCAGGAGCAACGTGTGGTTCTGTCTGATGAAGAGAAAAGGCAGAATTTTATGCAGAGTCTGGGACCTGCTTGGAATGGCTTCGTTGGCGTGCTCGAGTCTTGCGCGACATTCGAGCTCATGATCCAGCGTTGCCAGGCTGAAGCGATCCGTCGTGATCAGCAAAAGAATCGACGCTCGACGGCTGGATCGGGCAGTGGTAAAGGTGCTGCTGCGTTCAGTGCAGAACAAACGGCTGGCAAGCAGAAGGCGGGCAAGCCGAAGAAGAAACGTGACATGAGCAGGGTGAAGTGCTACAAGTGTGGCAAGATGGGACACTTCGCTCGAGACTGCAAGACTGATGAATCACCGTCGAAGGCGGAAGCTGCCAGTGTCGCATTCACTGTGGACGACGCGACCGATGACAACAAGAGAGGGTGGATCGTGGACAGCGGAGCCACGAGCCACATGACGGGGCACTTTGACAATCTCATCAATGTGCGTGAGTTGACGGAACCTCGTGTACTGACGGTAGCATCCGGCGACAACTTGGTGGCGACTGCGGTTGGTCAAGCACCGCTGGAAAAGGACGGACGAGAAGTCTGTGTCCTGCAGGAAGTACTGTTCGTCAAGGGACTGGCACGCAACCTGATTTCAGTAGCTGCTGCATCACGTCGCGGTATGACGGTGGAGTTCAAGGGCGCGTCGTGTATCATTCGCTCGCCATCTGGAGTGTCAGTTCTGGCGTCGCGAGAGGGTCAAGCAATGTATGTGGTGGATGCCACTAGTGTAGCTGTTGAGCAGGCGGCGATGATGACGGCCGAAACGCCGCATCTTGAAACCTGGCACAAGCGACTTGGACATCTCAATTCTCGCAGCGTTCACCAACTGCTTGAGGACCTGAAAGTGCCATGGCACGGAACCGTGAATCAATCGTGTCCGACCTGTGTGAGTGGGAAACTCGCGCAGAAACCATTTGCGGTTAAGGGAAGGCGCGTGCTGAAAAACAACCAAATGCTGTTGGCCATCGACTACGTAGGTCCGATGCAGGTCACAGCTCGGGAAGGATATACTGGTTTGGCCAATATCGTTGTGGAGCCCTTTCACTTGGAAATGGCGTACCCGCTGCGAGAGAAGAGCTCTCGTGCTCAGCTGGATGCAGTCAAGGACTGTATTGCAAAGTTGAAGGCCTATGCGCCGGAGTATCGTGTGGCGTTCATTAAGTCCGATAACGCTGCAGAGTACGTGGGTGGCGAGTTTGCTGCGTACTGCAGCAAGTTCGAGATTGTGCAGGAATTCTCGACACCCTACAGTCCCCAACAGAACGGAAAGGTGGAGCGTAGCAATCGCGTCATAGTAGAGATGGCTCGTACGCTGATGCAGGGAGCAAATCTACCCAATGCCTACTGGGCTGATGCAGTCGTGTGTGCGGCGTACATCAGGAACCGCTGCCCGACTAAGGTACTAGACGGTAAAACCCCGATGGAAGCTTTTCTTGGCTCGCCGCCCGACATCAGCAATCTGCGTGTGTTTGGATGCAAGGTGCAGGTTTTGGTGCCGAAGGAGAACAGGAAGAAGCTGGACTCGAAGACTCGGAATGGGATTTTTGTTGGCTACGCTACCGGTGGCGCTTATCTCGTGCACATTCCGGATCGTGGCACTGGAGAGACTATAACAGCGCGCACAGTCGTCTTCTACGAGGATCAGTTCTTACCACCAAGAGATGAAGAAGAAGTTAAAATCTACACGCAGCTCGATCTAGCTCAGCAAGAGTTAGTTAATCGCATGGAGGGTCAACTTCGGTTGGAGGATGTTGAAGAGGAGAAGGAAGACGTGGTCATGAGATCTACTGCCAATCGGTCAATTGACTCTGAAGCAACGGAAACTCCTTGACAACCCCCGTCTGGTCCGGAACCAGTGGGAGTTGTGCGACAGCAAGCTCGTCTTCGAGGAGATCCCCGTGTGGAAAAAGCAATTCCTCTTCCGCGTCGCTCGAGCAGAATCCCGAAGCCCAGTCAGCGACGTCTGAATTATGAGGAAAGTCATCTTTCACTGGAACAAGTGTGCAATATGGTAGAGGAACGACTGGCGCCTGCACAGGAAGATGGTACAAGCATTTCCGATGGCTTTATATATCGTCAACTGACCCCGAGTGACCTAACTAACTGGGCACTAGGTGTGGAACCCATTAACTTGGATGAAGTAAATGCTTCGGAGGATCGGAACGAGTGGGAGCAGGCAATGGACGACGAAGTCCAGAGTCTTGTGGACAATGGAACATTCGTGGAGGCCCAGCTACCATCCGGTCGATCAGCGATAAAGTCGAAGTGGGTGTTTAAGAAGAAAACCAACGCTGACGGAAGTCTGGACAAATACAAGGCGCGTCTTGTGGCAAAAGGTTTCAGCCAGCACGCCGGTGAAGATTACAGTGAAACGTTCAGTCCTGTGATACGACATAGCACACTTCGACTCGTGTTGGTCATTGTGGTAATCAAGCGCATGAAGAGATTGCAGCTGGACGTGAAGACCGCCTTCTTGAACTCCAATCTGGACGAGGAGATCTACCTGGAACCAGCCGAAGGATATCGCAGGTGCAAAGGCTGTGTATGGCGCTTGCTGAAGGCTCTGTATGGGCTAAAACAAGCCTCTAGGTCGTGGTACGAACACTTGTGCGCTTTTCTGAATGCGCAGGGTTTTCGTCAAGGCCAGGCGGATTACTGTCTATTCGTGAAAGGCGCTGCGGAAGACTTGGTGATTGTTCTCATCTACGTTGATGACATCTTGATTTTCGCCATGCGAGACGAAGACATTGTATCTTTCAAGGCAGCAATGGAGGCTGCGTTCGAGGTGAACCATTTCGAGGATGTTAATTTTTTCTTGGGCCTCGAGCTGACCTGGTCACCCAGTGGTGACGCAGTTTGTGTTGGCCAGCGAAAATATTCTCACACAATTCTGGAGCGATTTGGTATGGAGAAGACAAGATCTGCAGCTACACCAATGGAAGAGCGATACCGAGATAAGCTCTTCCTCGACGAGGATATTTGTGAATTCAAGCCTCGACCTGCCATCGGTGCACTGCTGTATTTGTCGGTCATCAGTAGACCAGACTTGGCTACTGCGATTCGCCTACTTGCTCAAGAGACCGAGCGACCTACACGTGCTGTGGAAGACGGGATTAACCGTGTGTTCCGATATCTCAACGGTACGCGTGATTTTGGACTGGAATTCAAGCAACGTGATGAAAGCGGACTTGTCGTGTATTGTGATGCTGCTTTTTCGGTGGAACGTGAGTCGCATTCGTCTACTGGCTTTGCCATATTCTATTGTGGCAACCTCGTGGAGTGGGGCTCGAAGAAACAATCAATGGTGACGCTGTCCTCCACAGAAGCGGAGTATATTGCAATGGGGACAGGCGTTCAGGAGTGTATCGGGCTCAACATGGTGCTGAAGGATTTGAGGATGGAAGCTGCCGAGATTCTTGTGTTCGAAGACAACCAAGGTGCTCAACATCTCGCTGAAAGCAAAGCAGTAACTCAGCGATCGCGTCATATCAACACTAAGTATCACTGGTTGCGACAAAAGGTTAAGGAGCATGAAATCCGCATCCAGTACTGCCCCACATCAGAAATGGTTGCCGACCATTTTACCAAGCCTCTTGGGACCATCAAGTTCAAGTATTTTCGCGATGAACTCGGAGTTCGCCGAGTGGGAGTGTTAGACCAGAATGAAGCGTCGAACCCGATTGGGCAACGGAGTGGTGACAGCAGCAGCATCGACGACTAAGACTTCGCAAGATGGCAAAGCGACTTGTTGAAGTTCGACACGAGAGGTGCATTGAAGATTCGTGGCGACAAGCACAAGCGCAGAAGGGAGCGTGCTGGGCGGCCTGACAGGTGAAGCGCCCCTGGCAAGTGCATGCAGTGTAGTTAGTTTTTCTTTTCAGAGGACTCCCAATCAATCACTTTTCAACTCACCTTCTAGTGCGCACTTCCTCTCCTCCACCACTCGACCACCAACCTTCCTCTGCGGCCAAGTTTCAACACCAGCACCACTTACGAGCACCTGTTCCGCTCTCTAGCGCGTCATTCGCGTCTGTTCCCATTGCGCAGCTCCGATGTAACGTTATTGGCCACCCCCACAGACTTCTACCAGCAGCTAGTGCACAATATACAGCTCGCAGAGACACGAATCTCCATCTCCTCGCTGTATCTCGGCACGGGTCAATTGGAGAGCGATTTGGTGGGCGCACTAGCCACGAGACTAAAAGAACGACCGCATCTCCAGGTGCAGATCGTACTGGACTATTCTCGCGGCCAACGCGGCGGTGTCACGGCCAGTTCCGTCACCATGTTAGCTCCATTATTGAAGCAATTTCCGAACAACGTGGAGCTATTTCTATTCCGCGTACCACAACTCTCAGGACTCAAAGCCAAACTACCTCCGCAATTTAATGAGACGCTGGGCGTCTCTCACGCTAAAGTGTATTTAGTGGACGACACTCTCGTGCTTAGTGGCGCAAATTTGAGCAACGATTACTTCACCAATAGACAGGATCGATACGTGCAATTGACAAACTGCGGGGCGTTGGCACAGTTCTACCATCAGTTCGTACAACTGGTTACCGGTTTTTCGTACAGAGTCAAACTGGAATCGTTGACATCCGCCAAGAGCGACTACAAGTTGTTGGCACCTCAACTGGCTCACGACTCGGAGGCCGCAAAGACGGCAATGCGACGCGATCTCGAGAAGCTAGTGGACCCAAGTCAGTATCAGCAAGATAAAGACGACGCACGCACCGATGCGTGGGCGTTTCCAACGCTGCAATTTACACCAATCTCCATGGACCACGATGAGCGTGTGCTAAGTGAGTTTGTGCGGCAATTACCGCGTGGTTCGCAGCTCCAAATTGCGTCGGGATACTTGAATTTTCCTCCGTTTCTAAGTGGATTATTGGAACACTGTCAAGCTGGTTTAGACGTGATTTCTGCTGCCCCACGAGCGAACGGCTTCTACGACGCACGTGGCGTGAAAGGAGCGTTGCCTATGGCTTATTCTCTGATCGAGCAAGACTTTTTTGAACGCACTCTTAGCCGTAAGTATCCAACAGTGCTACGGGAATTCAACCGACCAAACTGGACTTTTCACGGCAAAGGCATGACGAGTCGAACCACTCCTCGTCGCTGTCGACCCCCTCTTCACTATCACTCGCCCCTCCTCCGTGGCGCGGCGGTCGCACCGCCGCTTTGACGCGCAGGTCGGGCGCCATCTGCTGCTGATTTGCCCCCGCTGCAAAAATGAGTGGGGGGGGGAAAGTATACGCTACACGAGGTATACCCGCAAGCCGGATGCGGATCTCAAGCCCTCCAGCACCGTCCCATGTGCACGAGGTGGGTGCAGCACTCACTCCCTTGATATTAATGCTTCTGATAAAAGTACAGAAAACTTAATTGTTGTCGCTTACCGTAAAATGCGGCCGGAGTGAGACAAACGGGCGGAATGCAACAGCATCAATAATTACATGTATTGATGAACACCCCTCTTGCTTAAATACCTGTAGTGGGTCTCGATAACTCGAACACACACGAGGGAAGCTGGCGCTTCCTGTTAACCTTGGTTGTATTGCTTGCTAGCCGGTAGATTTCAATCTGACTAAACTAAGGGAACGTTATGTATAGAGCTCACTAGTAGTCCTCGTACATGTACTTCTATGCCAGCTTGGCCTCACGTTCTGTGCGGCCCAGTGCAGTGGACAAGGCTTGGACTCAACCAACCACTACAATAAGTAGTACTTAAGATTAAAAGGATTATTGAACGTCCTGTTCATATTTAATGTAGTTGAAGCATTCGTGAGATGGCAACATTTCCCAGCGTTTTCTAAACGCGTTGGGTCCATGCCTGCACGCATGTAAGCGCGGTCCATAAGGAGGGATGTCACAGCTGTCAGTCCTGTACTAAACCTCATAAGATTTTTTTCTTTTAAATTAGGAATTTAAGCAAAAAATGTTGTCTCACTATTGTTAGCAAGCTAACCTTCAAGTGGGCCCACGGCCCAAACCTCCACGTCCCATAAAAAATAATATTTGTTGTGTGTTTCCATAAATTTACAGCTCTCCAATTTCCAAAAATAAATAATCTTGTGAGGAAATAGCTTATTGTTCGATAATGTTATTGACAATGCTGTTTTCGGAGGCCCTGCGGGATAAGGTGTACAATCCCTCAATTACCAATGCTAGCGTGGCCTCACGTTCTGTGCGGCCCAGTGCGTTGGACTGCGCCAGCCACTACATGTACAGGCACCCGATTCTGGATAATAGCACTTGAAAAGTAATAAAGTGTAGTGAGTCACAGTGTCCGAGCACAAGTCTTACGGCCTATTTTATATATAGGCCGTAAGACATGTGCAAGCTAGGCTATAAATTCAATGGGTTTATCATAAACTGTAGTATTGTCTAGAAGTTCAGCCATAGAAAAGCATTGACGGGGCGGGTAACCTGCACCAGAATAATACGGTCTCGTATTCAAGTTGCTTTATTTCTTCTGTCGCTACACAAACACTGAAAAATGGGACAAAGAGGGGAGTTCAAAACGAACTTCAGCTGTTGAACTACTTGTAGCTCTCTACTAGCGACAATCGTGTGGTCTTCGGGTGAGGCGTGCGTAAAATTCTACTTCTTCGTGGGTATTGTTTGGCGGTAATTGTCGTAACGCTTGACGATCATACTGACGTCATCGCCCGACTTGCCAAGCGAAGCGAAGTATTCTCGGACTTTGTCGGGGTGCATTTTCTTTCCGGCCCAAGAGGGGAGCGCAGCTGTAAACAGAAATTCATCGCTTTCGAATTGTTTGAACCACTTGTCAACGGCAGCTTTCCTTTTAGCCGCATCCTGGGCCTTCAGTGCTGCCTTTTGAGACGCCTTAAGTGCTTGTGCGTTTTTAAAGGCGCTATACCCGGAACAATCTTCTTAATCGACGCGAAGTTAATTGTCCTTTCTTCTTGGTTGCCGGTTTCCACAGGCTGTGGCACAGCATTCAACCGCAACAATCTTGCTGTTTCGTGAGTACCTTCACTGCTCTTGGGAGGTCCGAGTGCTGCCGCGGAGACTCGTCCATCAGGAATGATCGCAAATGCTACAGCCACCAAAACAAAAGCTGCCAGTCGCATAGTTGGTGGAAAAGAGTAGTGGTGGGGTTAGTACCTTCGGGTAGAATTGCGAATGAAGTAAATAAAGGAAAAGGTGGATCACAAAGAGGCGAAACGCTCAAACACCTGGATCGAAAGAGCCAGTAAACAGTCCGTGTGCTGTACCAATTCGTATTACAACTGGCATGACACATCTAAGGATAATACATGTAGTACATAGTATGAACTACATTCAATTGACATTAAATGTGTCGTCTTGATATTAAATAGGCACTCGTTATTTTGCCCGACTGAGGTAACATAGCATCGCATTTTATACGTGTACAAATAGTAGAGTACGGTTAAATTGGAGTAAAGGTAGGACACTAGCGCGTTTGCACTCGTCTGCGGACTTATAGCCGTGGGCCCGCCCCTCTCTTCACTTGCTGCGCTGCGCTCGGGGGGCGCCGCTGCGCGGCCTGCCCCACCCCGGCCTCTAAGTCCTCGACTCGGCAAGGCGCTGTGTCTGGGATTAGAAATTAATTCCGAGCAAGTGTTGCCAAGACCGTCGGCTAAGTACATTTTATGGATGTTGGGGGGTATAATTGTATAGTCGGTTAGCCAGTCGGGCAAAATAGACAGAACATGCCGCCCCCGCGGTTCGCTGCGCTCGCAATGGATAGAATATTCTGGAAAGTGTTGTGCTCGGCTCGCTGGTGAGCTCAGCGCTGGGCCCGCCTCGCACCCGCTCACCTTAGTTGGCGCCGCGGCTATGGCAACCACGTCGCCCAGCCCCGTGTGTGTTGTCCCAGCGATGGACGTGTGTTTATCCTATTTTCTCGGCAAAATACTCACTTCCTATTAAATAGCATGAAGAAGTATGAATTCGTATTAATAAAACGGAGCTACTGGCGACACATCTAAGGATATTCGTAATATCACAATACAAATGGAAATCTCTTCTGAAAATCGTCCAGTACTGTACTTTAATAAACCGGTACAATGTACAGTACTGCACCCCGTTTTCGAGTCCCTGGACCTTTAATAAACTTCCGGATTTGATGATCTAAAATAAAACAAAACTCAGCTGATTAAACTAAAATTTGATTTATTCGCAAAATTTATATAGTACACCCCCGCGAAACGAAGTGCAGTACTGTACCCTGCAGAAGTTCTACTTAGATTGGGAGCTCGAGGAGCCCAAATCTAAAATAGAGGTATTTGATGTATTCAAAAATGATCCAAAGGTCTCGCCTGTAGACCCTCATAAAATTGCAATGTCGTGAGCTGGGCCAAGAGAATGCGGTATGCCCCGCTCAAAAAATTACAACGGAGATGTATTGTAATATATCACGAAGCTATATTACGCGTCAGCTTTGCTAGTCGGTGGCTTAAGGTAGAGTAATACATCGACCACGAGCTTTCCTTGATTTTCTTTTTGCAAAATGCATTTGGGTACATCATATTGGCCCTTTTCTAATTTTGGGTACCTCGAGCTCCATTGTTTTTCCCGTGGATTAAAAGCAGTTTAGGAGAGCCTACCTAATGTCATATCCCTTTCAGTCTGCATTTGCGCATTTCTCTTCCTCACGAATTGGAGCCTCAAGTTGGAGGTTCACCCTCCGCCATGACCTCCAACTGCTCCAGCACCACTTACGAGCACCTGTTCCGCTCTCTAGCGCGTCATTCGCGTCTGTTCCCATTGCGCAGCTCCGATGTAACGTTATTGGCCACCCCCACAGACTTCTACCAGCAGCTAGTGCACAATATACAGCTCGCAGAGACACGAATCTCCATCTCCTCGCTGTATCTCGGCACGGGTCAATTGGAGAGCGATTTGGTGGACGCACTAGCCGCGAGACTAAAAGAACGACCGCAGCTCCAGGTGCAGATCGTACTGGACTATTCTCGCGGCCAACGCGGCGGTGTCACGGCCAGTTCCGTCACCATGTTAGCTCCATTATTGAAGCAATTTCCGAACAACGTGGAGCTATTTCTATTCCGCGTACCACAACTCTCAGGACTCAAAGCCAAACTACCTCCGCCATTTAATGAGACGCTGGGCGTCTCTCACGCTAAAGTGTATTTAGTGGACGACACTCTCGTGCTTAGTGGCGCAAATTTGAGCAACGATTACTTCACCAATAGACAGGATCGATACGTGCAATTGACAAACTGCGGGGCGTTGGCACAGTTCTACCATCAGTTCGTACAACTGGTTACCGGTTTTTCGTACAGAGTCAAACTGGAATCGTTGACATCCGCCAAGAGCGACTACAAGTTGTTGGCACCTCAACTGGCTCACGACTCGGAGGCCGCAAAGACGGCAATGCGACGCGATCTCGAGAAGCTAGTGGACCCAAGTCAGTATCAGCAAGATAAAGACGACGCACGCACCGATGCGTGGGCGTTTCCAACGCTGCAATTTACACCAATCTCCATGGACCACGATGAGCGTGTGCTAAGTGAGTTTGTGCGGCAATTACCGCGTGGTTCGCAGCTCCAAATTGCGTCGGGATACTTGAATTTTCCTCCGTTTCTAAGTGGATTATTGGAACACTGTCAAGCTGGTTTAGACGTGATTTCTGCTGCCCCACGAGCGAACGGCTTCTACGACGCACGTGGCGTGAAAGGAGCGTTGCCTATGGCTTATTCTCTGATCGAGCAAGACTTTTTTGAACGCACTATTAGCCGTGAGTATCCAACAGTGCTACGGGAATTCAACCGACCAAACTGGACTTTTCACGGTAAAGGCATGTGGTGGAGACCTCCGTCTGATGGACGCTCGTCAGCACGCGGTCTTCCTCAGCTTACAGTCGTTGGCAGCTCCAACTTTGGACAGCGGTCTTATGGCTGCGACCTGGAGTCGAACTTGGTGTTGTTCACACGAAACTCGGAGCTGCAGCATCGACTGCAAGACGAGTATGACGCGCTCACTCGTGACGCTGAAGTCGTGACGGAGCAGCTCTGGCGACGACCTGAGCGCATGTTGCACGGGCTTTTCAGCTGGAAAGATGGCCACTGGATTCGACCGGTGTCCAAGTTTATTGCCGCATACCTCTAAGCTAAATTTTGCATTAGAATAGACCTCAAATATTTTGGAAACGTTTGAACATTTTTTTTAAAGTAAATGACCCACAACGAGTTGCAAGAAGACGCCAGAGAGCAACGGAAGTGTCAAATTATCGTCCCACCCGCCGATGTCCAGTAGTTCCGCGGCCGCAGCACTAATTCCCGCCGCGAATGAAATAGTACCGGCGATTGCCATAATGTCATTGCCTATCACGTCGAAATAAAAATCTTGCTCCACCATTAACGCCGTAAATGTAGCGGCAACAGCAACGCAGAAGCATCCAATCGATCCTTCCAGCGACTTGTTGCCTCCTAGCGTCCCCATTAAATGTACCAATTTGTGTCGACCGTATAACGCCCCAAAGAACGCGGCAGCAGGATCCCCCACCGACAACTATAGCAACGAAACACGTTAGAACTCGAAGATACTTTGTTCTTAACCGATAACAGCGTACATGAAGAATTGCAAGTCGTGCGACTCGAGGTGGATATAACGCGAGTGAGAAGCCGGATCCCAGTAAAAAGTAGAACGCGCCAGGGAGTGCCGCTCTCGATACTTCGTACTGCCGTAAAATACTACTAAAACACTTGATGTAGGCGGCATTAACCGTCTCATATCGCCCCCTCAACTCGTGTAGTCCGTAGAATAACACAGCGAAGAATAGCAGCACTGAAGCCCCCGCCAACGAGCCAAATAATCGCGAGGCTGCGTAGATCATCGCCCCCGTGCCAAGGTGCTGCATTTTACGTTGCAAATGCAGATCCACACGTCGCGCCGTACCATTCTGAGCAGCATCGAGCGGTCGAGACGATACCACGTACTGGAAGAGCAAGATCGCAGCTACACACGCTGCACATGCCGCTAACGACACTCCTCCGCCCTCGGAAGACATCGAAGACCGTTGCACTATCCGTTAAAAACGGATTTGAAGGGTTTCTAGTGCTGACGGACCTCGAGGATCGAGGTGTCGTCAATAGTTTCCAGCGCAGTATCCAGCCACGATACTCAATAAACCTAGCTGTAAATCTCCTCTGTAGTGTCGACACTTGGCGACGACTTTTTTTTCTCTTCTTTTATGAAGAGAATCCGATTTTCCAATTTTTCCTTAAGTCTTATTCGTCTGCGACGTGTGAGATAAAAAGTGTAGCTATTCTCGTCGCACTGAGGTCCAGTGGAAGTTTCGTGGTCTTGAAGCTCTCAGGCCCGAATTGGAATTCTCTGCAAGAGACTGGTAGGTGTGAACGTGTGTGCGAGATCAGACAGTCTGTTCCGAACGAATCTCCACTATCCATCTACTGAGCTGGAGGCATGAGTTGCCAAGTGGCGGACAGTCCCGAGAAACTCGCAGGCATGATCTTCCCAGCATTCATTGCTGAACTTGACATGGGCAGCGATAACAAGACGAAATTAATTGAGAACAGCGATCCGGAGCTGCAGACTCTTGCAGCTGATGAGTTTGAGATCATCCGCGTGCTTGGAGTTGGCACATACGGCGTGGTGAAGCTAGCGAAGCACATACCCACTGGCACCAGTGTGGCACTCAAGGTGTTGTCCAAAGAGCACGTGGTTACTACACGACAGGAGAAACACATCTTGAGAGAGCGTGCAGTGCACTTGCAGCTGCAACATCCGCTAGTCGCGAAATTGTACGGCACTTTCCAGGACGACGACTGTCTGTACTTGGTGCTCGAGTATCTTCCAGGAGGAGAACTTTGGAGTCTTGTCTACTCGAACACTGAAGAGAAAGACGACGATGAAGACGCTGCTAAGACGCCACAATTGCAGATGCAAACGTCGCTTAAGGAAGACGACGAGATCAGGCCGGCAACTCCAGTCCGTGCATTAAAGTCGAGCTCGTTCGAGTCTTTAAACCCTATTTGTTCGCAAACGCTGGAGGCTGAAGGTCTTGCCATTCTACGCAGCCAATTCGGAGGATTAAAGGAAGAGTATGCCGTGTTCTACCTTGGATGCATCTTGAGTGCACTCGAGTACTTGCACGATCAGAATTTGCTGTACCGTGACCTTAAGTTGGAGAACTTGGTACTAGATGAAGAAGGTTATCTCAAGATTCTCGACTTTGGCTTCGCTAAGCAGGACGCACAACGAGCGGAAGACACGGATGACAGCAGCGAACAGACTCAGAATGCACGGAACCTCACACTGTGTGGGAGTATGGACTACATGGCTCCAGAGGTGCTTCTACGTCAATCCCACGACCAGCGTGTGGATATCTGGTCGTTCGGTATCATTATGTACGAACTACTACTCGGCAAAACGCCGTTCTACCATGAAAACCCTCGCAAACTGGGTCGTCGAATCACCCACGATGATGTGGAGTTTCCGAACGAGTTCGAAGATAAACACCCACTAGCTTGCGACCTCATCAACCAGCTCTTGGTAAAGAACCCAGATGAACGACTCGCTTCTATGGACAAGATCAAACAGCACAGATTTTTCTCACGGATGTTTACGTGTCCTGAAGACTGGCAACTCTTGCTCCGCCGCGAATGCGAGGCGCCATTCGTCCCCAAAATCGATGGACCATTGGACACTTCTTTCTTCCAGACTATCGATGATGACTATCGGGAGGAACTGGAAGCTGATGTAGAGCCCTACTTTGAGGACGGCTCTAACATTTTTAGCGATTTCTAAATCTCCTACGTGACTAATTTATTTGCCCAGATAATTCTAGAAAAATGAAAAATAGAACCACCAATAATTAAAAAAAAACACATCCAAAATCGTATTTCTAGCACGTATTCCAGCTCTAGCTATCTAGGTTATGAGCCTCCTTGAGGCGTACTGAATCACAAATAAATACGCTTGACTCGACGCTACTACTCGCATGCTAGCGAGTCCACATTTGTCTGCACGGGTCTGCAGTTGGGGGATTAGTACCCAAAATCTGAGTCGGCATCGCTTCCACAATCTTCATCTCCGTCTTGGACACGTACAAAAAAACTGGTATCGAAAGGACCATCCAGTCTCGGGATAAACGGAGGCTCTACTTGTCGCGCTTCAAGTTGCTGCCAACCTTGCGTTGACGGGAAATACATTCGAAAGAATGTCGTCTTCTTCACCTCTGAGAACGACGCAAGGCGCAGTGCTGGGTCTTTTTCCAATAGCTTCTTGATAAGAGAGCACACTGCAGGGTGTCCTTGCTCGTAGTCTTCGGGGAACTGCACAGGCTCCGAGATGATACGACGACCTTGCTCTCTATGGTTAGCATGGTAGAACGGTGTCGTTCCAAACAACATTTCGTACAGGAGAATACCAAAAGCCCATACGTCTACTCGCTGGTCGTACGGCTTGTGTTGCAGAATTTCTGGAGCCATATACTCGGCACTACCACACATTGTCGCGTTCCGTTCTGTCGTCCTAGTCGCGTCTGGCTTGGATAACCCAAAGTCGATGAGTTTCGGGTATCCATCAGCGTCCAACACGAGATTTTCGAGCTTCAAATCGCGATACAAGACTCCTCGTCTGTGCAGATACTCGAGGGCCGTCATCAAACACGCAGCGTAGAAAGCTGCATAGCGTTCGTGTAGTCCGCCGTGGGAGCTGCGTAGTTTCTGCTTGAATAGAAAGTTCTCTAGTGTTAAACTATTGCGACTCATTGCGATGCTCGCTCCACGTTGTTGTCTGCTTTGCTCTTCATCTGATTCGGACTCGGTAGTGACTGAGTCGGAGGTGTCGGGCACTTGCACTTGTCTGGATCTCCTGTTCTCTTCTTCATCGGAGTCGTCACAGTCTTCATTCTCCTCTAAATGCCCGTCATCGTGGGTATACACCAAGCTGTATATCTCTCCTCCTGGACAAAATTCCAACACGAAATACAGCGCCTCATTGTCTTGGAAAGTGGCATAGAGTCTAGCAATAAATGGATGTACCAGACCCAAATGCACACTCTGCTCTCTCATGATATTCTTCTCTTGATGCATCTCATGCACCGAATGCCTCGTAACCATCTTGATGGCTACAGTTGCGCCGGTGTCTAAATGTCGAGCCAGATGCACCGAGCCGAAGCTTCCTCGGCCCAGAACGTCCAGCAGCTCGAACTCGTCGATATCCGTGGCTTTCTCGAGCTCGGAGACAAAGCTGAACCTCGCAACGGACGATTTTCGGTGGGCTTTGACGCTAACAGCAGCGAGATAACTGGTGGCGCTGTTGAACCGCTTGGCCGCGTCCTGCGCCGAGCTCTTGCGCCAGCTGGAGGCCGAGAAACGCTGCTGCGCGTCCTTTTGAGGCTTCTTGGTGACCATGGCACGGATCTCGCGCATCTTGCGCCACATGGGCGCCATGGACGGCGTCTCCACGGTCGGAAAGACCCGCATTGTCGGTGGGGCCGAGCGCAACGAGGTATGGCGACCGTGGAGCTGAGTGAAGTGACAATTATGTAAGCTTTTGCTGAGTGTGGGATTTTTTTAGTTCTGAATGCACAGTACTTAAAGTTTGTATGGCATTGTAAGGCTGTATTCTACCGAAAAAACTCCATAGAGTGTAGCCATTTCTGTCTTGTCAATCATTTCTTGTCTCCACATGGAGGCTTCATTGGAGCGACCCTGCGGATTGTATAGTACCATGTTCAGCGACAGGATGCCAACAGTGCCACCGTACGGGACCCTTCCTCCATTGCACCCAGGTGACGGACCAATGTATCCTACCGTCCACGACATAAAGTCTGTCGTTTAGCTGTACGCTACAGCGACAAGTTGCAGCTGCTGCAATGCGTCCTAAAAAATCTTGCGAGGACTGAAATTTAGTGTGTGGCCGACGTTGCAAAGGTATCCGTTTGATCATCAAATTGATGAGCCAGGTCCACAACTCCCACTGAAACTATTTCACGGTACCACGGTAGAATTAATGTATGTATTTTCATTAGGCCATTTCCCTTGAGCTATTTACGCATGCTACATGTAGTCGAATGTAGTTTTAACATGTTTTCTTCACTGCATCATCGCCAGATCCTGGTAGGTATTAGCGATGGTTCGGAGTTGATAATGCAGAGCGACGGCTGTTGGTCGATCCGACGCGTTGAAAGACACGCATTTCAGGATCACATCACGAATCTCGGGAGGACAATCGTCTTCGATCGTCGGCTTGATGGCGTTCGTACTCACTAGCAGTGCGATCTTTGCATCAGTCAGTGCATCCACCTCCGATTTGTGGCTGTTGTACGGGTGGCCACATGTATCCATCTCGCTCAGAGTGATACCAAACGAGAAGATATCTGCGCTTTCCGAGTACCGATCGCCCTGTAGCACTTCGGGTGCGATCCAAGCAATAGTGCCCATGCCGCCTGTCATTGTAGTCTGATTGGAGGTTTCTCGGGAGATACCGAAGTCGCTGAGCTTAGCTTCCCATTCGTGATTTAGTAACACGTTCCGTGACTTGATATCCCGGTGGATGATTGTCGGGTCGAATGAATGCATGAACACGAGTCCCTCTGCTATATCCAAGGCGATCTCGATCTTGCTACGTGGCTGCGAGTTCTCACCGACCCACGAGAAGGTCCGACGACCATCCTTTTCAGCGTGTTTCTGTCTGATTAGCGTAGTCAAGTCACCTCGAGGCATATACTCCACCACTAGCGAAAGATCCAAAAGATTCGTCCAAGCTAAGCCGATAAAGTGGACGATCTTTGGGTGGTCCATACGTGCGAACAGCCGGATTTCATCCATAAATCGACGTAAAAGATCTTTGGACATGGCCTTGGGTAGAATCTGCTTCACAACTACACGTTGGCCGTAGAGTTGGGCGAGATGAACGACACCGAAGCCTCCACTGGCGAGTTCCTCCTGGATCACTATATCATCAATTGGTAGACGATACGGGATCAAGTCTTCGTCGTTGCGTACGTCGTTGCTGAGATAGCCATCGGATGATGGAGGAAGTGATAGCGTTTGCGATCCCGTGCCTGTGCCACCAGTTAAACCACTGGACGGGGTTTTACTTGTGGGTAAAGCCACAAAGCCATCGCTATTCGAGTTACGTCGCTTTTGTTGACGTCGACGGTACACGATGAAGCCCACGATGATGAGTAAAACAGCGACAACACCTGCAACGATACCTCCGATCAAACCTGCACTGGAGCTCGAACTGTCCTCGTTAATAACAACAGTAGTCCCCGATCCACCGGACGCTTGGTTCGTACTGTCAGTGCTTGGGCTGGTAGTGCCGTCTCCAGTGCTGGAGCTGCTAGTTGTGGAGCTGGCACTGGAACTGGTTCCTGTGGAAGAACCAGAGTCACTGCTAGTTGGATACAGACTTGAAAATGTTAAATCTAACAACATAACAGATAAATGTTAATAGCGATTAGATATCAAATACCTCGAAAGCAAATGTTACCATCGAGAACGCAGGCTGAAATGTCGTCTGATATTGTTGTAACCGAGCCAGAGAGGCTGGAACAGTCGTCCGCATCAAAATTGACCGTGAGACTCAGCTGTGCACTCTTCAACACGGTGACGTCAGACTCGCGTACGACGAAGTTTGTAACCGTTGTTCCTCCAAGCGTCCTAAAGTTACACAATCCAGGGGTTCATTAGTTACGTTTTAACATGTTTTGTGAAATACAGACGTACATTGTCTTGAGTTTCGATGGGAAGGTTACACCCACGATCTCGGTTATACGACAGTCGCTACACTCTCTATTCCGACAAATAACAAGCTGACGTTAGTGTAGTGACACACCAGGTTAAATGCATTCGTGAACAGCTTACAGATACTGCAGACTGTCGGGGAACACTGCGCCTTCCAGTGTCGCGAGCTGTTGGTTCCCGTTCAGATACAAATTTTGCAGCTTCGATGAGAAACGGAACTTGGCCAGCGATGTGATCGAGTTCTTGCGCAGATACAAACGTTGCAAGCTCTCTGGGAAGTTGGACGCTTTCGTCGATGCGAGAAAATTAAGATCCAACGTCCTGTAGCCATCGCGAAAACACACCCAGTCTCGATGAGCAAATCAAAGCACCTTACCACCGAAAAACTAGCGAAATAATTTGAAAGCCCAAAATCCAGTTCACTTACAGTAATAGCACACTCGAGGGGAACTCTAAGCCATCCAACGACGTCAACTGGTTGCTTGTGATATCTCTACATCAAGCCACAAACGGCGGTCAGTATTATATACAGCAAACGCTATACCCGAATCCACGTACACTTCCGTCACTGACGTCCCCACCGCCTTAAACGTCTTGATCTTGTTATTCCAAAGCCATCTGTAAGTTTTAGTGTTTAGAATTAGGTTACGGGTCTCTAATTGCACCCTAATTCGAATTTTACGTACAAACTCGCGACGGCCGGGTAGCTCTCGACGACCTCAATGTCCACGTAGCTGGCGTTGATCCTGTACTCTCCTGGGTTCTCTGACCCTGTCGCTGTAATTGTGACTTCATCACAGTCGGAGTTTTTTACGAGGATAGCCTCGTCGTCTGCTCCATCGGCTGCTGCGGCCAACGTGACTTCGGATGGCGGCGCGATACCTGAATCAGGACATGTCGTCGCCGCGTGGAGCTCTCGGGACAGAGCGCAAGTGGCCACCCAGACCCACCACAGTCTCATGACGATGAGCCCGTTACAAAACGCTCGGAAATGAATGGCGTGAGAGTATATCGGAGACTGAGAGAGGTACCAACTGTGTAAAAGAGCACGTGACTGACCAGTGCGTGTGCAGTCACGATGGGAGAACGAAGTGATACTGTATCCCACCGAATCAGCTGTTCAAATAACATGCCCCAAGGTCAAAAGTTTCAGCGTGGCCGCTGTTGTTTCTTGATTACCCAGCGATCAACGATACATGTGAGCTATTATATGCATTCATGGAATTTTGTTCACGATAATACTGAAGTAAATACAAATTATTGCAGCATAAATGGCAGCTTCACTGAAGCTCTGAAGCCTTGAAAGCTTGATGCCGAGAATCGAAAGTGCTTCGTTGTGTCTGCGAGTCGTCGCAATCGTTTGGTGAGGCAACGACCGACGATCTTTTTCTTGGTTAAGGAGTGCAACGCTGGAGTTTGCCACGTGCTTACGGAACATAATATGTCAGCTAAGCGTAGCTCCTCAGTTCAACTCTACAGTCGACCGGTTAAAAGCTCTTTAAACTGACTCGCTCAAAGGCTAAAACTTTCATGATAAGGGGTACTTTTCACTTGTTACAATGTCCTACTCATGGGCTTTTACATAGAAGTATTAAAACTGCATATGGTCCCTCCGCTCGTTGGACAGCAGAGCGATGTCGTCGTCCTCGATCAGTACAATTTGCGGCTCGGAGATCTTCCGATACTCTTGTCTGTACGTCGGTCGACGCGGTGCTGTGCGGTTGGTACGAGGCACCGACATGGCTCGGTTTGCCAGTCGACCGGTAGTCGCGAGGTCGTCCAGTGCGAGCTCCAGATTGCGCAACTCGAAGTGCAGCTGCAAGGCCGACGGTCGATTCATCGGGTCGGCGTCCAGACACTTGGCCACCAGGTCCTTCACACTGTTCGGACAGTCCGGGCTCAGCGACGGCCTCAATTTGCCTGCACTAACTAATACAGCGATCCGGGCGTTCGTGTGCTTGATGTTCCCGCCTCGGTTGTCCTCGGTAGGGACGCCCTCGGAATACGGTCGACGACACGTGTCCAATTCGGTCATGATGACGCCAAAGGAATACATATCCGCCTTCTCGGAATACCGCTCTCCACGCAGAACTTCGGGTGCAATCCAAGAGATGGTACCGATCTCCGCAGTCATCGTCCGATCCTCGGTGAGTTCCCGACTCACGCCAAAGTCCGTGAGTTTCGCCTCCCATTTCTCGCTCATCAGCACGTTGTTCGGCTTGAGATCTCGATGGATCATGGGGCTCTCAAAGGAGTGTAGATAGACCAGAGCTTCGGCGATATCTAGAGCCACAAGAGACTTGCACTTGACGCCTCCTCGCTCGGACTTTGTGGACCGGAACCAGCCGTACGAGCCACGTGCAGACGGATCGCGCGTCTCACGCTTCAGTTGCTTCTGCAAGAGCGTGGCGAGATCTCCGTTTGGCATGTGCTCGAACACTACAGACAGATCCATTAGCGAGGTGAAAGTGAAGCCGAGGAACCTCACGATCTTCGGATGATCCAGAGACGCACACGTCCGGATCTCGTCCATAAAATCGTTGAGCATCTTCGGATCACGAGCTCGTTCGGGCAGGAGTTGCTTCGAAACTACCGTCTTGCCACGGAATGTAGCCTTGTACACAGCACCGTAGCCTCCTTTTGCGATCAACTTGCCTCGGATCACTTCGTCGTGCATCAAACGGAAGTGGCGCATCTCCTGATCCGTGCGAATATCATTCTCCAGATGTCTGGAGGACAGTGGTAGTGCGGACTGCGTAGAAGTGGAAGACGCCATGGTACTGTTCATCCGATGTTTGGTACTGACAAGCGTGTCATCCAGTGCCGAGTGCTCTTCCGCTGCCATATTCCCTGTGTTTAGTGTCCGTTCGAAGAACGTATGGCTCGTTGGGTTGGTAGTTGTGCGCGCTTCAGCTATAGATCGAAAGCCAGAGCTCCGGTCTGCTGTATAGTCCTTGAGTTTCTCATTCGAGCGGCGATGGCGGAACACAAGATATCCCACAGCACCGCCAATAACGACCAAAAGTAACGCAGCGCCAGAGATCATGGCCACCAACATCCAGCCAGATGAAGCAGTGGTATCAGCGGCGCCTTTATCCAGAAGCTGCGAGCCATTCGGTGGTGGTCCAGGGGCTCCAGTCGAGTCTGAAATCACAAACTTGCTGTTGTACACTGCGTCGGGCAGTACGCAGACAGGTACGCTCTGTACCTGTTGTTGTGTAGCACTTGTGTCGCTGCAACTGGAGCTTGAGACCGTCAGTTTAAACCAACCGAGTCCTCCTACAAGAGGCAAACTCGAGTTGGCGATCTCGAACGAGTCAACGGTACTACCTTCCAGATCGAGAGAAGTCAGTGAGCCGGAGGATGGCAACGTCAGGCCCGAGAGTTTCTCGATGTCGCAATCGACACACGAATACGCTCCGAGCTGTGTCGGCATCTGCCACTTGGACAAGTCGTGGATTGTGTTCTGACTCGTGTCGAGCATCACGAGCGTATTGCTAAATCTGAAGCCGGTGAGGACTATGATGCCATTATTCTTCAAAGATAAAGCCGTGACAGTGTCCGGGAGCTCACCGCCGTCCAAACCTTTAATCGAGTTGTTGTCTAAAACCCTGCTCAAAAAAATACACAAAACGACGTCATTATACTGCATCACATTCAGATACCAGTGCAGTCTTCGTACAGCCTCGAGACACTGCTAGGGATTGATAAGGCATCCAAAGCGCTGAGTCCATTCGCCGACAGGTCCCTGTCAAACCAGAAGCCGCGATGGTTAGCAAGACGGGTAGTACTTCAGGGGTACTATAGTACCACGTACAACGTCTTGACGGTGGCCTCGGTGTCTTCATAGATAGTAGTGACCTGGTTTCCTGATAATACGACGGTGGTCACAGCCGGGAAACTTGAGACGGCTGCGATCTCCAAATTGGTGGCATCGATTGTCGTGGTTCCGTTGCTGGACGTGGAGCTGATCTTCACTACGGTGCAGTTTTGATACACAACCTCAGCGTTCGACGGTATATCCTCGCTTCGTCGCAGCGTCGCCAGTGTCGGTGCTGGCTTCTCGCACCCGTCCGTCTGGAAGACACGAGCTCTTGTCGGGCTCTTTAGAACGGCTGAGAGAACGAAAAGCGTCAGCAGTCCATGACGATGGCGCGGTCGTCTCATTAGTACGTCCCCACTCCAGACGTCGACACTCTCCTACACGAGATCACGTTCGAATAGTAAACTGAGCCCAAAATCATGCTCGGTTTTTGATGCACGACATGAAGGGCACAGTCCGCTCCCCATCCGAAAGTTTTCTCGCAGGCACAGTCTATTAGATTTGCACCATTGTTACATCGGACAGCAGGTTCGCCCCCTTCCAATTTTAAAGAACACAAGAACGAGCATTCAACACCAGGCGGAGCCATGCAACGCTCGGTTTTTCCAGCCGCAAGTCGCAACTTTGTGGCATTCACTTAAATTCAAACACTCGGTTGCTCAAAAACGAGAAGGACCAAGGCAACGATTTGCCGCATGGAATCTGGAGTACCGGTACATGTACCGGACTGCAATCGACAGCTCTGACTTGAAGAGATTATGAACGTCAAAATGTTTTATTAAATACCTTCACTTCTGTTTCTCGAGTCCCTTTAAAGCTCGATATTCTCGTTCCATAAACGTTTACGCAGCTTGGAACGAGAGGCTTGAATGGCTCGCACTCATGCTTGCCTTTGATTGCGTCCGCGTCATGCGTCTCGCCGATGCCAGCAGCTCCTCTTCCCCAAGCTCCAAGTTGCGTAGTTCGTAGTGAATTTGCAGAGCTGACGGTCGATCTTCCGGGTCGAACGCCAAGCATTTGTCCACCAAACTGCGGACACTACGAGGACAATCCACATGCACTTCAGGTCTCAACGTTCCAGCACTAACCAGCACAGCAATACGAGTGTTCGACGTCTTGTTGTTACCGCCACGGTTGCTCTCTCCCGGGATACCCTGAGAATACGGCCGGCGACATGTATCCAACTCTGTCAAGATGACACCGAACGAGTACACGTCTGCCTTTTCAGAGTAATGCTCGCCACGTAGCACCTCAGGAGCGATCCAGGACACGGTCCCGATCTCAGCTGTCATGGTCTGGTCTTCGTCCAGCTCTCGACTGATACCAAAGTCCGTGAGTTTGGCTTCCCACGTGTCACTCAGAAGCACATTCTTGGGCTTCATGTCACGATGGATAATCGGACTCTCGAACGAGTGCAAATAGACCAAAGCCTCAGCGATATCGAGCGCAATAAGCGACTTGCACTTGAGGTTTTCACCCTCTCCGACTGAGTGGAACCAACCGTAGCCATCTCGAGCGTATTCAGCATCAAGTTCGCGCTGTAGTTGCTTCTGTAACATTGTGCTTAGGTCCCCACGCGGCATGTATTCCATGACCATCGAGATGTCGCTCAACGAGCTCCAAGTTACGCCGATAAAGCGAACAATCTTTGGGTGATCCAATGTCGAACAGAGACGGATCTCGTCCATGAAGCTGCCCAGCCAACGCTTGTCACGCGCACGCTCGGGTAACAATTGCTTGGTCACCACCTTCTCGCTCTGGAATGTAGCCAGATACACGGCACCGTAGCCTCCCTTGGCTAGAAGTTTCCCGCGTACCACTTCTTCCTGAAGTAACCGACATTGCATAATATCGTCGTCTGTGCGGATGTCATTCAGCACATAGTTGGCGTTGGATTCGCTCAGCATCGCCTCCGGTACTGAGTCCGTTCGCCCGGTTCTTGACATGCCTGTCATGTGACTGGGCATGTACTTTGTGGCCTTGGAAGAAACCGAGGCATCCGGATCAAATTCGAGATTTTCGGCTTCTTTCAGCTCTTCATCGCGATCTTTTTGTCGTCGACGGAAGATGACGAATACCACTCCACCGAGGATACACGCCATCATGGCTCCAAGACAGATCATGGCCAGCATCATCCAATTGCTGAGACCACCACCGCCTCCTCCTTCAGCTGGGATGTGTCCACTTCCAGGACTCGAGGAGCCTGATCCGCCGACAAGGTATTTAGCGTCGAAGTATCCGTCCACGAGCACGCAAAGATTCATCGAACGAGCAACTAGAGAAGTGGCGTGACCGTCACTACAGTTGGCTCCAATTGTCGTGACTACGAGATCGTCGACTGCCTCGAGTACTGCGACACTGGAGTTGGCAACCTCGAATGTTTCTACGTTGCTGCCTGTGAGATCGAAAGTTGATAAGGACATGGAAGTCGGGAAGACGACACCAGCGATGATCTTGATCCCGCAGTCTTGACACCTGAAAGACTGCAGACTGGTGGGCATTTGCCAGCTTGAGAGCTTGATTATCGAGTTGTCACTCAAGTCGAGGTAGTCAGCCTGGTCACTAATGACAAAGCTCTGTAATGACGTGATGCTGTTGTTTCTAATCGAGATGGACGTCACTGTGTCAGGGACATCACCTTTGGATAAGGCCGAAATCTGGTTGTCATCCAAATTCCTGAAAATTTAAACACAAAAAAAACATTAGAGTCCAGAAAAAAAGGAAAATCCAGAGATTTTCACACTTACACCACAGTCACACTGCTGGGAATCGAAACGTTGGTCATGTCCACAATGCCATTGCTAGAGATATCCCTGTACAAGCACAACGATGTTAGCAATTTTGAAATTCTAGAGTTTTGTCATGAAAATCCCACTTACAGGGTCGTGACAGAAGTGCTGTCCGCTTCTTCGATGACACTAATGTTGTTCCCCGATAGATCCCTGTTTAAAACAAAATAACGTTGTCATTACTCGCTCCTGGACGTCCAAGCATCGACGACACGTACAACGAGTCGACTGCAGGGAAGCTCTGGACGACCTCAATCTTCTGTCCGGAGGCGTCCATGGACTTGGTGCCATCGCTCTGAGTATCGGCGCGGATGGTCAAAATGGCGCAGTCCTTGTAGACGACATACGCCGCGCTGGTGGACGACGCGCTCTGTGTAAACGTAACTTGCTTCGGAGGAGACGCAAGACATTCCTGACGCTGTGCCTTAAGCGCCGCTAGACTTCCCGACCCACTACCGCTACTGTCCGAATATGTAGACGCATCCGATGCGGCTGAGACGGAATCGATCGCCACCTGTGTCATCGCTAGCATCACGAAAATGCGAGTCCTCCATCTGCTCTTCGTCATGTCTGAAAATCTCGATAAAGAAACTGTTTCTATCTGCCTGAGCCTGAGTTGAGCAGCTTCCGTCCACTGAAAGTTGCTTGCCTTCTCCCGTCGCCACTGGCCAGCAGGTTCTCGGTGAAGAGCGAAGCGGTTGTGCTGTATTTGCAGACTGGAGGAGGAACCAGGAGCGCCACGCTGAGTTGTGAACTGAGCGGGGATAGTCACGTCCGCTGTAGCAGCTGGGATCGCTCAAAATCGATCCAAAATGCGAAAAAGAATGAGCTCCCCATCTGAAGCAATCTCCTCCCCGTCGTTTATGTGCCGCAGAGACACAAAGCAAGAAACTGGCCGCATGCTTACCTTTTGACGCTGAAAAGCAACACTTTCAAGGTTTCTTGGGGCTGTGTTTCACGAAGACGACGACACTTTCACGAAGTGCATTCCTGCAGAGCGTACAGATGACAAGTTCTCTACTGGTGTCGAAAGCCGATTCTCATTCAGTCCTTGGCCACAAATTTTGCGCAGCTACTGAGGTGTATGATTGCCTCGACATGCACCGCATAAGACGAGGTCTCCTCATGGACATTCATGTATCAATACTACAAATTACAAGTTTGATATAAAAGCACTTTGTACCTGTTTACTAAACAGTCTTTAATTAAACATTTTTGAGTGGGTTTGGTTGGAGTGCTAGGGTAGTACCCTAAGGGTACCACTTCAACCAAAAACACTTTAAAATGTCTGGTCGGGTGCAGGTGCGGCAGTGCCGCCGGCACGGTGCACTTTGCCAATAACAACTCTCTATTGACAGACGCTCACTCGAGTCCAATCCAACGCGCAGGGCAACCTTCCCATTCGTTCAACCGGTACATGTTGAAGATGTACCGGTCGACATGTCATGTTTACTTCGAAGTAGTTTGGAGCTGCTTAGAGCAGCCTGTGCGAAGGTATTATTTTTAAGCAGCTTGAAGTACGTTCGAATAAAGTAGCACAAATATTATCATTGTTTGTTTTGCAGACTGCAGTGCTAAGAGGCCACGAAGGAGCATTTATCCCCTTAATGCAGTGACTGCATACTACTGTTGTATTATATTTCGTCACCTAATTCATGGCCTTTTGCGATAACACATTTCAAGCTTACAAACATCAAGTCATTTCAAAGGTCATTAAATGACCTTTTATTAGCAACTTTTTCGAAATTTTCGAAAAAGTGGCCAATATGGCTGGCTAGCCGAAATTCACCGCTTCGGCCCCTGCTCCAGTCCCTCCCGGGCACTGAACCTCTCGTATGCCGAGCGCTTCCCCGTCCACGATCGTGCTACGAGTGCGTCGTCCGCCCGACAACAACCAACAGACGCAAAATCTCGAGACAGAACCTTTATCCCCAGTCGCAGCCAATGGCATCGTGCTCGGTACAGGCTTGCAAGCCCTTTTCAAGCTTCGAGGCGACTCAAAGATCGACGCAGCCCACGGAACGCTAGAACGTACATCCGGATTGGGCATTTGGGTCTACAGCGACCACAGTCGAGAAGGCTCCATCCTCAATAACGAACTCAAGATCCACGATGACGCTGTAGTCGTGCGTCACGGGGACACGTTGAAATTGGGTCAAACGGAGATTGAATTGCGTCTTAAAATGGGTAAACTCGAAAATCCAGAAGAGGATCACGATGAAAAAGAGCAAGTGTCTCCAATTGGGACCAACCAAGAAAAAGAAATGGGTACAAAAAATGGTGGTCGACTAGCACGACGTCGAGCTTCAAGCCCCTGGGGAAGAGGATCGGTCACCAAGGCACAACAAGCCAAGCAGCGACTGCCTCGAATCGACACCTCGGGTATTGATTATAATGAGCCTGCAGTAGTTCAGCCCATGGCAACTCCTCCGGCATATTCGGCATCTCCCGTCCCTGGCGTGAGGTGGCGTCGAAAACGAAATTCGATAGCTACAACGACATTGACAGCGAGGTCGCCGTCGCCTCGGGATCAAAATAGCCACCCTCACTCGTTCCATCGACCTCGTACGCGGTTCGTACAGGGAGAAATGCCTCCAGAGGAGGAAAACACAGCGAAACCGGCTCGTCCTCCGCCTTTAGAGTACTCTAGCTCTCCAATTGTGTCGCCGTCCTCCTTACGACAGCGACACAATCTCTTCCAGCAGCCACCAAGTAGTTTACCTGTGCCTACGTCTGGGTTAATAACTGGAGTACCGCCACCTCCCGTTAGTGTCGGTGCAAAACCAACGGCTCGACGTGATGATCTTCGTATCCAAGTGTCCAAGAAGATGGCTGCGGCTGCACCGACAAGTGCTGGGAAGGCGCAGGCGCCTCAAATACCAGCGAATAAACTGGAATTCCAAACACCTTCGTCTCCTGTGGCACAGAGAGATATTCGAAAGCAACAAGAATCCTTGCAGACCATTTTGCAACACAAATCTGAAGAAGAACAGCTTCTGAAACAGCAACAAGAAGAATGGATGAGAACGCATCTCATGTCTGGGGATACGAACGAGGCATCTCCCACGTCAACGTCGGCGCTGTCGCCTAGTAAGAGTGAGATTAACTTTCTGGAGCACGACGACTTAACGTGCTTTCCCGCTCCAGCTCCAGTACTTTTACGCACACTGTCACTTGGTATCAGCGAGCAACGTTCTATAAGACCGAGTCCACGTCTGACAGCCGCGATTCGAGCCTCCCGAGCACGTCTCAATAGCTTTGAAGAAAAAGTCAGTACACGTGACTCTAAAGGCCGTCGAAAGACAACAGCGCTGGTGTTTAGTCCGAGCATAAGACTCCATCACGAGGGTGCAACAATCAGTCCAGTTAAGGAAAGCGAACTGCGTACGTCGAGTGAGAGTATCGCTTCCACTGCGTCGACGGTCATTACGTGCCACCGTCGCGTTACGAGCTCGGTACGTGCTTGGTAATCCCTTACATTGAAGTACTGGAATTTATTAACCTATTTCATTATTATTTCTTACAAATTAACTCAGCTATCTTCGGCTACTTCAGTGGATTTATGCGATTTCTTGGGATACCAGCAAGAGGAAGATGCCGAAGATATGGTCACCTCTTACACTAGTCCTGATTTGTATGGCTCGGATGAGTTGCTACGTCGCTCTCGCGAGGATACTACCCTGCTGTACGATGCCAACCGCAACAGTATGTATGGGACATTGTCACCCCCACAGTCCCGTGTGTCATCCACGCTCTCGCCGTCAAATACGCGACTCGGATCACCTCGTCAACGTCCCGAGACTTCCATTACTAGCAGTAACCAGCAGCTAAACGACAGTCCTCGTCCTAGTCTCGACAAAGCTGTATCACTCGGATCACGTGTCTTGAGCCCCAGAGGTGGCGACTTCGATCCACGTTCGCCGTACAAATCAACTGCAGCTCTCAAGAACCAAATGCCGCAGTTGCAAAAGCTTCGTCGACCAACATTCCAACCGGAGGATGCGGGTGTGGAAGGAACAGATGCGTCTGAACCGCGACAGCCGAAGCCTAAACCATTTCGAAAACGTGCATCGTTCCGTCGCCATTCGCTGACGCCGTTGTCAGGCTTGAATAAGCGCTAGTACCGACAGGAAAGCAAGCAACTGTGATTTTTTTTTTAAACACGGCCGAATTAATAAGAGATTTTGCTGCATACTGATGAATAAATTGTGAAAAAATGGGCTTTACTAAGCAAATACACGGTATACTAGTCCATTAGTACTAGGTAGGGTATACAATTTGAAATGGTATTTTAAATGGAAGTGAGTATTTTGCCAGACTGGGAGCATCCCACTCGTAGCAAATCTTGTGTTATCTTCGGATTTGCTAGGATTTGCTGATATCTTCCATATCCGAACTCGGTACAGCGTATACTCTGCGTATACCCCTCCCACACAAAAAATCCTCCCCCTCCAGCAAACGCGTGGCTCCAAACGCACGAAAATGGCACCACGGCCACGCAGCGCACAGAAGCGCCCCCTGGCACTGGAGGGTATCGACAGCGACAGCGCCAGCAACGACTCCGACGGCTCCGTGAGTGACTGGCAGCCAGTGTCGAGCCCGACTTCTGCTGAGGCGGAGGCGGTAACCAGTAGCGCAAGTGAAGAATCGGGTCAGATTTCTATCCTCGCCTCGCCACCACAAGAGACACAATTTCAGTCGTGGAAGGACTTCGAGGCCTATCTAGCGCTGTACAAAGCGCAGTCACTCCAGGTACATTATTAAGTTATCTGTTGCGTTTGTCTATACCGTCTCATCACGTTTTGTTTGTCTGCTAGATATTTCGAGTGAGAACAAACACTTCAGTGGCTGTACGGAATGCTAGGATAGATGCTCAGGGCTCCGCGGCGACTAAAATCCCGGCCGAGTGGGATCAGTACGCGAAGACGTACGTGTGTACACACCACGGCACATACCGATCGCAAGCCACAAGCAAGCGGCCGCGTCAGGAGACACGGGCCCAAGGATGCTCAGCACAGGTATGCGATTACTATAGTTTTGGTTTGTAGCGAAATAAACCCAATCTGGCATAATCGGGCTCAGTTGGGATGAATCGTGCATCACCGGTGTAAGCTCAGCCACTAACCGTGTCTGTTTGCATTAACTTTGTTACTATTATTTCAGCTGAATGTATGCGTTCAAGAGATTAACAAAGCTGAACACACGTTTGTGCTCAAAGTGACGAAGTGCCGGCTCGAGCACAATCACTCACTGAACGAGTATGCATTCAAGAGTCATCCTTCCAACCGGATTACTCTCGATGACAGTGCCTTACGGACGGTGAATGAGCTTCGAAAGGCTGGAGCAAAGAAGACCAGTATTCTGAAGTTTATCAGAGACAATTCAGATAGTAATCCAAAGCCACAGGATGTTCACAACCTCGTGAGCAAGCTGAAAGCTCGTGAAAACAGAAACGGCCCAAGTTCGAGCGCAAAACGATTGAAGAAGTGGATGGCCGAGTTTGGAGATAATGTCGAAAATGTGGGTCGTATATTCGTAGACGATGTCGGGGAAAAGGTATGTGTATTTAGTGAATCAAATACATTATATTCATAACATCTAACATGTTCTTTGTATTAGAAAATTGCAACATGTATTACATTACAGACTAAACACATGCGATCGGTCTACAAACAATTTCCGGAAGTTCTTCTCATTGACGCGACGCACGGAACAAACCGTTCAAAGTACAAAGTTTTCTCTTTTATGGCTCACGATACCTTTGGAAAAGGCCAATTTGTGCAGCACGCGTTACTACAGAACGAGCGATGGCCGACATTACTGACGGCGCTTGAAGAATTTAACAGTAACAATCCGGCTTGGACAAAACTACGCTGCGTGTTGATCGACAAGGACTTCACGGAACTATCGGTACTGAAGACTGCTTTCCCTGACGTCACTACCCTGCTCTGCCAATTTCACGTCTTAAAGTATTTGCGGGAGGAAATCGCGTCAGCAGACTACGGTTGTAACACGTGGGGAAAGGATCAGCTACGAGGTCTGATGAACCTGCTTGTATATGCGAAGACCGAGAAAGAGTATATGAAGCACTTTCGGTACATGTTGCACGTGTGCGGAATGGGGCGCCCCCGATCTGGGCAATTGACTTCAGATCCAGTTGGGCAGAATCTGGCACCAGTTGGGCAGAATCTGGCACCAGTTGGGCAGAATATTGTGGCGGTCGGGCAGAATGTGGCGACAGAAGCGCGGAATCATACCACATCCGAATCTGAACGCTGTGAAACTACGAACACAATAGTGGAACCGTTTGAATCCGTCCGACACCCTTTTGTCGCCTATTTCATTAAGAATTGGGACAAATGTCGCGAGCTGTGGTGTGCACACAAGCGCCAAAACACCGTGACGCTTGGTAATAACACCAACAACAGGTTGGAGGCCTCGTGGAAGCAGTTGAAGGAGTGGGTAAACTCTTTTATGGCAGTGGACGAATGCATAGCGTCGATTATGTATTACCAGAGTCTTCAAGAGCGACGATTTATGGATGAGGTGTACAAGAAGGTTAATGTCCAGCATGTTGGTTACGATCGCGAAATGACGTTGGTTGCAAACCTCGTCAGTGAACATGCATGCGAGTTAATACACGATCAGTATTGCTACGCACTTGATCGTGCATCTTACGCCTTTTCCGAGAGAGCGCCAGGTGTGTACTTTGTGAAGAGTACATCCCCCGATGAAGACGCCCTCGATGAGGTAGACGCAGAGTACACTATTACGACTCACGACTGGACTTGCTCGTGTCTCTTTATGAGTACACGTTTATTGCCGTGTCGACACGTCTTCTTTCTTAGAAGAGCACTAAACAAGGAGACTGTTATCCCGACTCAACTGGTGCATCAGCGATGGGTCCTGTCGTCTGTACGGTCGTCGATAGAGTTCGAAAACGCCAGTGATGCTCCTACTACTGTGGAATCTTTTGCCGTTCGAAGGGTATTGGTGACCGATGAGCGGCCATGGGATTCGAACCGGAAGTACCGAGAGGCCTTGCCTATTGCTAGTGAAATTTGCGATTCGATGGCTGGTTTAGGCATGGTCCAATATCGTGAAGCAATGACTTATTTAAAGGCCGTCGCCCACCGTTTCAAGGTTGGAGATTTTTCTTCATCGATTAAGATGCCGACAATCAGTGAAGGTACGCGCGACGATGTCTTCGACTCAGATACCGTGGGCGAGGTTGAAGTGGAAGACCCTGAATTATCACAGCCTTCTACGCAGATTACACCTCAGTCTGGCGAGTCTGGCACCCAGTCTGGCGAGTCTGGCACCCAGTCTGGCGAGTCTGGCACCCAGTCTGTTGAGTCTGGCATCCAGTCTGAAGAGTCTGGCATCCAGTCTGGAGAGTCTGGTTCGGTGTCGGCCGAGCTTATTTGTCAGACTGGTGTGGAGACTTCAGCTTCTCATGCGACTCTGCAACCGGTCGGAAATGATACATTTGATGTGGCGAGCCCTCCAAGGTCCCGAGGTCGCCCAAAGCAAAGTGCAAAATCCAAGAAAGCAGCTCGCCGCAAAAATGTTTTGATGGTGCAAGATGATTCAAATTTGTACTCGGATAATCTGAGTTTAGCAACCATACAAGACGCCGTACGCATTGAGTCAACATACGAGACATCTGCCACAATTGTGTCCAGATTTAAGCTGTTCGATTTCACAAAAAATCCCCGAGCTCCAGTTGCCCACAAGGTAGCAAGACTTCCCGCCTCAAAAAAGATCGTCTCTGCTGAGTCCATCCCCCGAATTTTCCGAAAGGATATCCTTGATAGATGCAGTGCCAAAGTGCTAGCTCTTCAGAAGGCACACAAGGAATCAAGTGATCAAAATCTAGGTGAGAAGGACATTGTCGTGGAAATTGTTGGAGTAGGTACCTACTCCACCGAGACGCTGGGTGTCATGAAGAAGTGGCACAAAGCGATGAAAACCATCCAATATGTGGAAAAAGCTATCGTTTGGATTGATACCATCGATTTCGAACTCCAAATGCCCCGATGGTTTTGTGTTGATCTTGATCCTGATACACAATCCAAGATCAAATCTATTCCTTTACTATCGGTGCAGGTACGCAGTTGCATACAGTCAGGCCCCGCAATGGAAATACTAATATCTACTGCTGTGTAATTGCACATAGGCTGAAGCACTCGAACTCGTCGGCAAGTCTGCGTTAGGCGACAGCACGGTCAATAAGCTGATGTTAAAGTTGCTCGCAGCGAGAGAAGACACGATTGCTGTAGACACGTCAATCGCCGGTAACGTCATGAATGGTTTCTTAGCGGTGGAGACTATGAAGGACGTGTTTGCTGGCATGACAAACCAAAAGATTTTGATTCCTGTCATCTGCAACAAGAATCACTGGTGTGCGGTTATGATGGATCTGTCGCTTAAAGAAGTTTTTATCTATGATCCAATGAGCTCAAGCTACGGCGTAAAAGTTCGACCTCTCGCTGAGAAGATGGTAGCATTGCTGCCAGATTTCGCTACAAGAAAATACCGAATTCGACCATACACGAGCGAGCTTGGAGTGCAGGTTGATAGCTACAATTGTGGCATGTATATGCTGTTAGCTTCTGAGATATTTGCCGGTGCTGAAAACCTATATCTGCTAAGTCGGAAGGAGCTACAGTATTTGCGCTATCGGTACCTGTGCATGTGCATTTAATGCAACTAGTTTTTCAATGATTTGGTCTTTTGTTAGTGTGTTTGATGCGTTGACTACCTCCAGGTTATTCCCCCTGCACTTTGTCTTGAGAGTTAGATGCTGACCGTCTTGCGGGGTTCAGTTTCAAAGCCAACACACTGCCATCCGGTTATACGTATACTCCGAAGACACGTCAACTGATGACACGTCCGGCTCTTCCTGAGTCTGGCATATTCGGGCATGCTAATCGGTTGTATTCTGGTGTAATTGTACTGTCTCTTGTTACCCAGTCTGGCTAAATAACGAGTGCCATCTTTAATTCGGTCGAGTCAGTGATGTTGAATGCTGGTGCTCGTTGCCAATGAGGTCATCGCTTCGTCAAAAGCTGCGACGTACTTTTTAGATAGCCTTTAAATGTCGCTCGAGTTATTTTATCGAAAGAGAATCACAGCATAATTGAATGATTTCCTTCTTCGGGAACCATCACAGCAAAGAGGGGTAAAGCAGATCTGGTTAGCTCGATGGGCTGCACTCATGGAGGTTGACCCGCTGAGATTCCCCTCAAAGGGACGTGAGCGGTATGAGATGCCGGACACGTGCCGCTTCCAAACGAGATGGGTGCCAAGCTCCTTAGCTCTTCAAAGTGAGAGGCAGCATCATTTTAGTCTATCACCCGACCAATTGTGATGCTTGCTACCATACCGCGGTCAGAAGGTGTCTCCAGTCCTTCCGTGAACCGATGCAACGTATGGCACTGTACCTGCCCCGGGCATGCACACGGCGCCGGCTGTTTAAGTGGCGACGCGGCCCAGCGGAAGCATAGTCGACACATCCGGATATCCTGGCGAATAGCTACATGTATTTCCCGAGCCACCTCCGCTCCTTCCACCTTGGTTTCGTGATTGGTCTGTTTCGGCGAAGTTCCGTGCTATGTTTACAAGCGCGTGTCAGTTCTATTCGATGCAGTAGGATATATATCCTCTTGAAGTTGGCGCCGGGAAGCGTAGCCTGTCGGTGTCGCTGAAGGTCACATAGTGTCGGAGAGATCTGCAATAACAATCTCGCTGGCAGCTCGAGCTGCTTCTTTCCGGACGCATCGAGCGCCGTGCGGTTTTTGAGCTCGGAGCTTGCGGTCTTTGGACGCGATTGGCAGTTGACCAAATTTACTGATCTTTCCCCGGTCCGGGAATACCAGTTACAACTCGTCGTTGTACTTTACCGACCACACCATGATCACCAAGATCCAAAACTAGGTTAGAGCTAATAATGGAGTGGGAAGAGGATCTAATTAACAGTTAAAATGCTGAATGTGACGCTTATTCACAGTCAAGCATTGCTATGCATGGTGCTTCACTGCTCATCTAAAGCTGCTTAGTCATGGCTCAAAGCTGCCGCTAGCAACATACCAGTGGCCGTAGAAGGAAAGGAACCCACTCTCTGCTGAAAAGCCTTTGGACTTTGAGCCCAGAAATGCTCATTTCCTGATTCTTTGGGGCTCTGAGTAATTATCAGAACTAGCGATTTGCTGGGCAGGGTTCGCCGGAACACAGCTTTTCAGATTGGAGCAGGTGGGTGACGCAGTTACTGCGGGTGGGTGGTTTTTGGGTGAAGGGTTTTTTGGCGTTCCCATTTACAGTACTGTAATATATTACTGTAATGCTTGGAGGGGAAATAGCATTTTCTAAATACGGTACATGTACCGGTACTACATGTACATGTGTAGTACATGTCAAGTTGAGATCAAGTAATATTTTAAGTAGCCACACCAAATCAAACCCTGGCGATGGTGGTGCTGGGCAAGCGCAAGGGAGACACAGTCCCCTCCACTGACGCCAAGAGAGTGAAGGATGGGGCTACTCGTACGTCTTAGATACTTAAGTGCCCTTGCGTGATATATTCATATTTGACATTGACGTATCAAAATTGCGCAGTGTGGTCTCCGTCAGCGGATCTCGTGGCTTTTTCTAACTGGACTAAGTTCTCGAATCTTGTAAACGAACGCTTTAAGTGAGAAAAAAAACAGTTACCGCTTAATTGATAGAACAGGATGACATTGGAAAATGCTGAATAGGTTGTCACTCAAGACACCACAGGAACTGTGGCAGTGGTCAGTCGACAACCTCGAGGACTTTTGGGGAGCGGTAGGGCCGGGGCGACTAGACAACTGGAGACGTTGTCGAGGTATTGGCCATGGGACTGACTACTGGGGGTTTACAGTGTTGGGACTTTACGGGGATGGTGGCGTCGCAGCCGTACACGAAGGTGATCGAGGACAAGGAGAAGATGCCAGGTAGTAGATAACTGGAATCGGTTTTGCTTGCAGAGTATTACTGATTCTCTTGAGCATTGATGGCTGAAGGTGCCAAGTTCTTCCCCGGTGCACGACTGAATTTTGCGGAAAACTTGCTACGCTTCCGTGATGATCGCCCTGCTATAATTTTCAAGGCGGAGACCAGCAACCAAGAGACAGTGATCTCGTACAAGGCGCTGTACGAGCGTGTGGCAAAGCTATCCGCTCGACTGGCAGAGATGGGCATTGTTGCTGGTGACCGTGTCGCAGCATTCATTCCGAACATCCCAGAAGCGATCATTGCTATGCTCGCCACCACCAGTTTGGGAGCGATTTGGTCCAGTTGCTCGCCTGATTTTGGTGCTCAAGGAGTTTTGGATCGCTTTGCTCAGGTATGCTCGCTCTTCCAGACGGATGGATATACCGGAATTGCTTTGACGTATTTTTGCTCGGTAATATGTGTCGCTAGATCACCCCTAAGGTTGTGTTCACCACGGATGGATACTTTTACAAGGGGAATCGCATCGATATCTTTCCGCAGTTGAAGACAATAATCGACGAATTGCCGACCGTGGAAAAAGTGGTCGTGATTCGCTTTACTGTCCCAGACACTCACGACCTGGATCTGTCTAAGATTCGCAGCGCAGTCTACTATGATCGCTTTATCCACGAAGCTGTGGAGCCTGTGAAGGACTCGATTCCCTTCGCTCAGCTGCCCTTCGACCACCCGGTCTACGTGATGTACAGTAGTGGAACTACTGGACTACCAAAGTGTCTCGTTCAAGGTCCAGGTGTGGTGCTGAACCACCTCAAGGAACTTGCGATTGTATGTTCGAAATGGCTCGAGTTTGTGCTAAAATGTTCCGAAACTAACAAGGTTTACCTGTAGCATTTGAACATACGTCGAGAAGATCGCGTGTTCTACTACACGACAACAGGGTGGATGATGTGGACGTGGTTAGTGAGTTCTCTTGGCATTGGAGCAACGATCGTGCTCTTCGACGGCAATCCGTTGTACCCATCCACAGACGCATTGTGGAAATACGCACAGGTTAGCGTCTGTTACGACTTCATGAAAGCTGTAACGTTAACCACGTCGTATGCTCAGGACGTTGGTGTGACCGTGTTTGGCACAAGTGCGCGATACCTGGCCGCGGTTATGGACTCGGGCTGCGTTCCCGGCAAAAAGTTTGACTTGTCCAAGCTGAAGCTGATCACGTCGACAGGATCTCCAGCGAGCACCAACATCTTCAAGGTTAGCAACTACCGATCACCATTTCAGATAACCCCAACATTTTCTAACTTCACACCACTTTTCAGTTTGTATACGAGGGGATCAAGAGCGATGTCCAGTTCGCTTCCATCAGCGGGGGAACTGATCTAAATGGCTGCTTTGCTCTGGGTTGCACCAATCTGCCAGGTATAGAAATATGTATCCAGATCACCATATCCGTAGGCATTCTAACGTGGTTATAGTCTGCGATAGTGAGCTCCAGACGCGTGGTTTGGGTCTAGACGTACGCATTTTCACTGACGACGGCCAAGAAATCACCCAAGAGCAAGGCGAGCTTGTCTGCAAGCAGCCATTCCCATCCATGCCACTATACTTCTGGAACGACGACAGTGGTGCCAAGTATCATGACGCCTGTGAGTCTGCAACCTTACTATACTAACCTATGAGTTCTGACGCGTAAATGTTTTACAGATTTTGATACGTTCCCAGACATCTGGAAGCACGGTGACTTTGCTGAAGTCACGAAGAGTGGTGGAGTTATCATCTACGGTCGCTCCGACGCTACTTTAAAGCCAGGTAGGGGCATCCCGTCACACTCGGCTATGTGGATATCCAACTAATTCCACGTACATTGTCAACTTGGCACCACAGGCGGCGTCCGCATCGGAACTGCGGATATCTACAAGGTGCTGGAGAAAATGGAAGAAGTGGCCGACTCGGTGGTCGTCGGACAGAGCTATACGCTGAATGACGGGACCCCAGACGTCCGTATTCTGCTGTTTGTAGTGATGGCTGAGGGCCACGAGTGTACCTCCGCCTTCCAAAAGAAAGTCCGTCAGCGTATTCGAGACCAAACTTCTCCGCGACACATGCCAGGGATGGTTGTTGCCTGTCCTGCGATTCCTCATACTGTGAGTGGGAAGAAGGTGGAGTTGACTGTCAAGAAGATCATTGACGGCCACGCGGTGACCAACAAGAACGCGTTGCAGAACCCGGAAAGTTTGGACTGGTTTGAGGAGTTTGCCATGTCTTTGCGAGAGAAAATTTGCAACAGAGCGTGATGCGTGTGCGGGAACACAAGCTCAGCTTAACCTGTAGTGTTGCAACGTGGATCGCTGTTAAGAACCCAAGGAATTGTTGTTTTCATTAAATGACCGCGATTCTGGATACACACAACGCTACGCTTAGCATGATGAAATCTGGTTCTGAAAAACCTGCGCAAAGTTGCAATAGATGTCGTCCCCCGTGCTCCAGGGCACCACTGATGCCTTGATTAGCGAAGAGTTGTTGTCAATTCGCGTTTGCAGTCCGTACGACCTTCCAGTGGCTTCATCCGCGCGTGCAAACACGACATCGTTCCTAAGCAAATTGAAAGCGAGATCATAAACAGTTAGCACAGTACCGCAGCTTAACCAACCCCATCCTGGCACCTTACTTTGTCAAACGAGATGCAGGACAGAAATCTCCAATGCCATCACCGACGTAAAGCACGCGGGAGTATTGCTTTGTTCTACGGATCGAATCCAGAACGCTGCCTTTGCACAAGTTCGAGGGGCACCACGGACAACTCATCGGGGTGTCATGATGCGGACGGAGACAAATCCTGGTGCGTCCATTGTCCATTGTCTCGACCTCTGCGTGGTTCGTCAAGACCTCGTTGATATACGGCGTCAGTCCATGGTACATCAGTGCTTTTGCGATGAAGAGGCTGTTGCCATCGCTGACGAACTTCTCCGCAGCCATGCGAACGGCGTCGACCATGCGTTCTTGGATTGGGATTTGTGCAACTCGCGCGCAAATCAGCTCAGGTGTTATCTCCGGTTTTTCGTTTGCCAGGATTCCGTGCATCTCATCGAATACACTCGGCCAGACAGGATTCAACGCGTGGCGTTCATCAAGTGTCTCGAGCAACTCTGGGTGGAAGCATTGGAATGGAAATCTGTCCGATTCTTTGTTTACCAGCGACTCGTCGAAGTCGAAGACCACCAGCACTTTTCCCGAACTTTCAGACATAGGGAATACCTTATGAAGCCTCTCGGATACTGAAGGAAGAAGTCGCGAAATGAGGAACAGACCTCTTCTCTCGGTTTGCAATGTTGGACGTGAATCTTTTCGGAATATGCACTCGATGCACTTCATCGCGATCTTTGCGATCCATGATGATGTGACGACTCACACTCAAAGTGAGTGCATCAAATCGAATTGAACAGTATGCACACTGACCGTACTGTCACATTTGAACTCAAATGAGCTTCCATGTTGAAGTGGTTGAACACTATAATAGACGTCGATGACACGAGCCAGCACCGCTGATTCTCAACAGTGTTTACTGTAGTTTAAAGTTCGCATCGAAGACATCAAGCCAAAACGCGGTCTTAAACGTTTGTTTATTTTCAAAAGTACGGCTGCAAGAGTTGATTCAGTTTGATAAGACCACGGGTTATGACGCATGTTCATTCAAGCGCCTTGCTTCAAGCAACACGACTAGACTGAGAAAAAGCTTCACTGAGGTGGCGCGTGAAAAAACTGCGCAAAGTGACGATAGATATCGTCGCCCGTGCTCCAGGGAACCACAGCCGCCTTCACCATTTCAGCATTGCTATCAATTCGCTTCTGCAACCCATAGGCTCTGCCGTTTGCTTCATCCGCGCGTGCAAATACGACATCATTCCTGCAATTTTTGCAACCGATAAAAAGTTAGGTATTCCTCATTTCCAGCACCAAATACTTAACGTACTTTGTCAGGTGCGTCGCTGCGCAGAAATCGCCCGAGCCATCGCCAACGTACAGCACAGACGTGTATGAATGTGCATTACGCAGGATGTCAACAATTCGACCCTTGCACATGTTCGTGGGGCACCATTTACAGCCATGAGGTTCATACGCTTCTCCATGGTACGGACGGACACGAAGACGACTGCACCCATTCTCCTCTAGCTCGAATGAAGCGGGGTTTGTGATGACCTCGCTTACATCCTGTGTCAAGCCATGATGTTCCAGCATACTCTCGATGTACACAGAGTTCGCGTCACTGACAATCTTGACGTCGGCGCTGTGTATCTCAGCAGCGAGACGAAGAGCATCCAGCATGTGCGTTTGAATAGGAACACGGGCCACTGTGGCTCGTATCGTGTCCGAAGTAATGTTCGCTTTGTCTTCTGCTAGCACGCCAAGCATATCGTCCATGATCTTCGTCCACGATGGCTGCGTCTTGCGTCGTTCCCGCAATGTATCAAGAAGTTGGGGATATAATTGCTGGAAGATGAAAGTGTCCGAGTTCTCGTTGACCAACGACCAGTCATAATCAAACACGACCAAAACGCTGCCGGAGATTCGCGGGGTTACACGAGGAATGACGTACGGAGACGGACAGAACTGAGCGAATCGACGGTAGATGTCGTATCCTGTGCTCCAAGACACGACGGGAGCGTGTACGACACCAGGGTTTTCGTTGATTCTTCTCTGTAAACCGTACGCATTCCCATTAACGAGGTGTGACCGCGCAAGCACCACATCATTCCTGCATTTGCAGTAATAATAATGTCAGAAACACGTTTTACAAGTGCTGTTTTGCCGTCAATAACTCACTCTGTTAGGCGAGATGCCGGGCAGAAGTCTCCAGTGCCGTCGCCAATATAAATCACGCGGGAGTAGGATTTCCCGTTGCGAATCGAATCCAAAATGCTGCCTTTGCACATGTTTGTAGGACACCACGTGCATCCATGTGGATCGAGATGATCGGCGTGGTACGGACGGATACGAAGTCTGGTGCGTCCATCGTCTAAGGTTTCATGCTCGACAGGGTTGGCAAACACTTCCTTGACGTGTTCACTCAACTCTCGATGTTGCAACATACTCTCGATGTAGAATGTGTTGCCGTCGCTGATGACTTTGACCTCCGCACCGAACAATTCCACTGCCATACGGATAGCGTCAATCATACGAGCTTGGATCGGAATCTGGGCCACCGCGTCACGAATCAACTCAGGCGTCACGTGAGGCTTCTCGCTCGACAAAACCTGGAGCATATCATCGAACACGCTCGGCCATATCGGCTTCTTAGCGTGTCGTTCATACACTGTTTGACACAACTCTGGGTGGAGCGACCCGAACACGAACACATCCGAGTCCTCGTTCACTAACGAGTCGTCAAAATCGAAAACCACCAGCAGTTCTCCGGTTTCTCGAGGCATTGGGGTGGGAACCGAAAAGTTTCCGTCCTGCTCAGCGTAGATCAACGTGTCGCTAGCGTTTGGTTGACGACATTCAGGGTATTGACGATAGAAAAAGCTTCGGAAGTACGCGAGGATGTCCTCTCCCGTCCTCCACTGGCGAATATGCGCCTGAATCTGGTCAGGATTCTCGTTCAGCAGCGTCAATAACTCGTTCTTCCCACTCACGCGAGCAAACACGACGTCGTCCCTAAAAAAAACAATGCAAAGAAATGATCAGTATACTTTTTAGCGAGCTCTTCTTTGTCTTTTCACGCACATTGCCAATCTCGTCGACGAACAAAAATCTTCGACCCCTCCACCAACATACAGCACTCTTGAGTACCGATGTTGCTGCAGGATCCGATCCAGCACAACACCTTTGCACAAGTTGGTGGCGCAGTCTTGACAGCCATGTGGAGCGACATGGTCACCCTGGTTAGGCCTCACTCTCAACACTTTGCCTCCGTCTTCAAAGTGCGTCGGGTTGGCCACCACCTCACTCACTCGACCGACCAGATCGTGACGTTCGAGAAAACTCTGAACACCGAAGACCGTGGAGTCACTCACGATCTTGCATGTGGCTCCGAAGTCATCCACTGCGAGTCGAATGGCGTCCAGCATGTGCTGTTTGAACGGAAGACGTTGCGCTGCGTTACGAATGTCCTCGTGTGTCAGTTGGGGGCGCTCTTTGGCGAGTTGGACGAAGAATTCGTCCATCACTTTGGCACGGTCGAGCTTCGCGTCTGCAGCATGTTTGGTCCAGATTGTGTTGGCCCGTTCACCGTCGAGTGCTTGAGCGGTGCCGACGTTCGAGTCCACGTCTACTAGTACATTATCAAAAGCGAAGAGGACCAGCACATCAGCTCGACCCATGTTGACTAAAACTGCTTGAAGATCTTCAATTAAAAAGATGCAATACAGTTCGATTTCTTAAAATAAGTTAAATGTTTTGCTTTACTAAAGTAAAGTGATACTGAAGTACCGGTACACCGTGTACCGGTACTACACGTACACATGCTTCATTTTTTTTACAAAAAGCTTAAGCTTTAAGTTTTTTTAGGAAAGTTTATCCTCTTTCAAAACACACATCTGTTAAAAACACACACAGAAGAAAGCAAATAAAGACAATGTCGTGCGGTGCACGGGAAGCTCTGGATTTAGTGTACTTTTATACTGGGAATACCGAATAGAATGAGGGATGGACGGCCCCAACGGATTAATTCCACGGTACTGCGTAGCGTAAAGTTTTACGAGCCTCCACAGTTCCCGAAGCTAGTGCAGAGTACGCAACATGCCGTCAACTTGCTGTCGTGACGCTCTGTCAGGCTATCAATCAACTGGATCGATATTCCAAGTCGACAGCGAACCGTATCGTGTCTGGTCTTACGCGAATTGCAGCAGCCTGTCGTGAGGATCCACCCAATAGCGAATGAACTAATGGAGTCTCTGCTTCCTGCAATGCTAGACGGATCTCAATGGGGCAAGTTCCTGCGTCTTCGTACTGAAGCTATCGCCACTGCTCGTTGGTTGTGCTGAGAGTGATGACTTCCGGGTACGTGTGCTGTATTTTGTGTCTTGAAATGGCTAAACTAACCAATGTTTTGCACTGTATCAGGTGGAAAATCATCCGTGGATCAGCGACTTCATCAGTTTCCTCCTGGATCCCGTGGTTTCGTCCGAGAATGTGCATTCGTTCCTGATTCTCTGTGGATTAATAGTTTCGTGGGAGCGGAAGAAAACGAAACTAGAATAGTGACAGATGAGTGCCTGGGAACCCAGTGAATGTTGCGCTAGTATGGACCAACACTCCTTTAATGTGTATTGAGGCACACGCGACATCGCATTTCGTCTTGTAATGATTGCAGTATATTGTGATATAATATTAAGTTTCCGTGTGCTATCATTTCAAAATTCAGACCTCCAGTCAGATTGCCATAACAACTCTGGATTAAAATCCAGAGAATTAGAGCAATTTTGCTTTTATTTTATTTTTTGCTTTTGTTTTAAGGACAAGAATTTAACTATGCTATGTGAAAGGTTTTGTACGAATTTGGCGCGCCAATTATTTAGCCGAGACGGTGGTGCCAAGCGTGTGACGATGGTGGGGCTCTCGGCATCGGAGCTCCAAGCGGAGACGCTATTCCCTGGTGACACGGTCGAATACTACTCTATGGTGCGCGGTTTGCCTCCAATTCGTGTGCTATAATTCATGTTAGAAGTCTTACAATTCGTGTCTGTCTGATGCTACAGGCGTTCGTTGCGGGGGACCCGCGCGGCCATCGTGTGTCCAAAGTTCTCCGTATAGACCGCCAAGATGACGAGTTCCCTATACGCGTGGATACTGAGGAGATGTACGAATTCGATATAAGGAGAAGATTGCTGTAGAACGAACCTATTGGCGCAATTTCTGACCTTGGGGTGTCGTTTTGCTGCATAGGCTCCCGCTGACCATCATGTTGAAGCGGAATCGAGACCGCAACGACGTCGAAATCTCGTCCAATGGTGCGTCATCCATTTCCCGAGAATTTGCAACTTGGTGAAGGCAATATTGGACTAAGACGGGTCTCGTGTTTAGATGCAAAGTGGAGGAAGTTGCGGACGTATAGATTGGTCGATGGTGAAGTCGAAGGCGAGACTCGAGCTGATCGCTTGAATGCTGATCTAAAGAAGGTAGTACCGTGATGTGGATAACTAATATTGCTGGATGGCTGTGTGACAATTGTACTTTTTTGTGTTTTAGGGTCTTGAGGATGCGATGAGGTCTACAAAAAGGCAACTTGCAAAGGAAAAGGAAGAAAAGGCGAATGCTAGTAGCAAGAAGGTCATGAGTAATTACTTTACCAAGTTAACTTCAATTGACGAAGGCGAGACTACCAGCTGTCAACGCAGTTCGATCGAGAAAATTTCGACACCAGAACGGAAGAAAAAGAAGCGGAAGCCATTGACGCCAAGAGAAAACACGGAGCACTATTCAAGTAGTCGGTCTCATGACAAGGTCGTCTTGAAGAAGAGTCGAGATGTTGAAAAGTTTTCTAGAAAGAGCCGACCTGAGGACGACAAAACGCGGCCGGAGCAGAAGTTCAAGTATGACAAACACGAGTCACGTAAGAGGAAGCGAAGCGATTCAACGCTAAAGAAGAAGACCAGACCGATAGACACAACGCCCAAGAAAAACCAAGAGAGGATCAGCAGATTCTTCGGTGCTGAGCAGAAACAACGTCAACCGAAGAAGAAATCGGGAATCGATTTAAAGAGGTTTATGAATCATGCTGAAGAGAAATATGATATCAAGGCGATCGAGAACAAAAAGCGCACAGTTTGGGGTTTGGATGAATACTTCGAGCTGGATGAGAAGAAAAAAGAACTTGAAGCGGAGAAAAGTACAGGAGCAGGAACCAACCCATGCGATAAGTCTGGAAACAAAGAGTGGGGCGAACAGCGTTCGAACTATCGCAAGAATAACGCAGGGCCAAGTGGGCCACTCCAGTCGTGGTTGAGTAAAGGCAAACGGAAAGACGAACTAGAAATTATCAGCAGCGGAACCCCCACCAAGCCACAGCGACCCAAGCAGCGAACACTGAATCTTGTTCCTGACAAGCAAAGATCTCCCAGGATGGACCGAAAGAACTTGAGCTTTGTGCTGTCCAACAGCTCAAGTGATGCTGCTTATTGGAAAGAAGCGAAGCATAGCAAGAACCGAGATGATTCTGCTTCAAACGAACATGTTCAGCTTCGCAGAAAGAGAGGGTCTCTGGGCACTGTAAGCGCAAGAGTACGTTGACTGAGTAGCGACTACCCAACGCATAGTTACAGTGCGCTAATTGTTTGTGTTTTACGTAGACTCCAAAGCAAACCCCATGGCACCACCGAAAGACCCCGTTGACCGTTTCTAAATAATGAGGCATGTGCGTTTGATGTAGACCCGATGATTAGCTCATGCTTAAAGACTCCAGAGTGAACAGATAGGCATGGATTTTAGTTTTGTGAGCCCTAGATTCCCTGTTGGCTCCCAGTAAGTACACGGACCGAGCGAGGTTTTGCTAATCACGGTCTTTTGGCTAGACGAAAGCCACCGTCGTTGATCTTCCAGATGCCGACAGTATAGCACAAACGGATGAGAATGATCTCTCGCAACATCGTGATCGTCGCCGAGATGACACTAAGCTTGGAACCTGGCACCTCCGTCCACTGCACAGCAACTTCCTGCAAATGTATGACAGTGTGAGAGTCTCATCAATACCTCAGCGTAAAATCACTGTACGCACCTTGATTGCCATCTTGCTGCTGGCTGCGAGGTACAGCAGCTCGACGTCAAACGCCCATCGTTCGATATGCATTGGGGCAAACAGCACACGGGCCGCTGTGCGATCAAAGAGCTTGAAGCCACACTGGGTGTCCCGCACGTTTTTAATGCACAGCGTCGACACTATCAAGTGAAAGCCGTGCATCAATAAATTCCGGAGCGGGTTTCGCTTAGCGATAGTCTGTTCTTCAAGATGAGCGCGACTGCCACACACCACGACACCATTTGAGTTCGCAGCTTCGTCCAAGGCCTTGGCCAGCTTGTCAAAGTCTCTGATTTCCGTAGCATTGTCTGCATCTGCAAATAACACACGCTGACCACGAGCGCGCATGACACCCTTGCGGATGGCTCCACCTTTGCCGTGGTTCTTCTGTAGCTTCAAGAGACGGATACGGTCTACAGAGTACTTCTGCACCTCCTTCATGACCACCTCCACTGTTCCGTCCGTACTGCAGTCATCCACTATGATAATTTCGTAGGAGAACGAAGAATCCTCCTGCTTCTTCTTGTCCAAAAACTCCACCGTGTCTTTGATTGTAACCAGGATACGTTGCTCCTCATTGTACGCTGGAATCACCACCGTCAGCGTCACCTCAGCCTTCTCGTCGCCTAAAGACCCAAATGGCAATCTGAATATACGCGGATTTTCAATATAAGTTATTTAAATTGCACGAGAATTCTTGTGTGCAGCGATGTACGTACAGTTTGTTTGCTTTCGGGTCTTCGTACGTGGCTTCCTGCGGAGGGTCCAGCTCTTCAGCTAACCGCTTCGCTTCAGCGATAGGAGTGCGGATCCAGGCGAACAACAGCACAGCACCAGTTGCTACGGCCACGGAGACGATAACGAGAGCCGCATCAAGCGCCAAGGAGGTCAGAACCATGGTCCGGATGCTCAGTGCCGTGGTCGAACACGTGTGCAAGTTGACACAGGTGTTTTACAAGCTTGTTTTAGTGGAAATGTGATTTAGTCTGTGATTTGGTCAAAATTGTGTATTTGAGTTATACGAGCGAGGAACCGTCGTCTGTGTGAGATGTCAGCGGTTTGGCAACACTCTTGTGGACCCACTGGTTGCTGTCGCCATTGGAGAGGAAAACCCACCAGTTTTTCAGTACGCCGCGGTCGAATGGAGAGCGCTTGTCCGGCAGGTTCTGTAAGTAAGTGATTGACGAGCGGCGAGCATGTTCCCATGAGGTCTGCAAGTATACACGGAGACATCAATTTTACAAAGTGTTTTGAGTAAAATGACAGGTACACACCTGGTTCGTCGAGATGAGATACGCCTGGTAGCAAAAGAGCGGAACGACGATAAGTAGCACGCACATGAGCAGGAACCACAGCACAATGTACAGCGCGTTGGTCTTGAACCAGTCGTTGACATCGTCTTGTTCCGTAAATGCCTGCGATGTCACGTCGATCATCACCGCACCTTCCAGAATCTGCAACACCAAGTACAGCACGAACAACCGACGGTTGTTCTCACCCACGCAAGTCCCCACGCAATCGCAACTACACGCAGCAAAATTAATCGTCATCAAGAGCCACAAAAGAACCTAACTGCACGTACTGATGATCGTACTGCCGCGTACACCGAGCGCAATCCTTACTAAAAGCACAAACAGATATGTCGCGTGAGAACTGTTGCATTCTCCTCAGTACACCAATAGTCGTACCAGTGTTTTGTCCTCAGGGGTTGGAACACGTGACATTCGTTACAGAAGTGCAGATCAGCGCTGTTCCTCGGATGCTCGTTCTCCTCTCCATCGCCTAGCAATTCTGTATCGTCACCGTCTTCCGTTGTAATCCGCGGAGAGCTACCAAGTTCTGTGGGTGTTGTAGTTTGAACCGGTGCCAGCATTGACCTCTTGTCGAGTTGTCCGGGCGACGAGCATTGCAGTACCACGTAGCACAGAATGGCTGCCACCGCTACGACCAAGTACACCACGAACTGAGCTGTAGGCAGCGCCTGCGGACTCAAATCACCCTTGACGCCTAGCACCACGTAGCCGTACACATGCACGCCCACCCACCACGCTCTAGCGTACCATTTACGCAGCTTCGCGGCTCGCGTAGGGTTCTCGGCATTCCTATTCCGTACCATGGTCGCAATTTTCAGTTGTGACAATGTCGAGGTTTACCGAAAGCAAGTTATATTTTGTAGCCATGTTAAAAGAATCCTGCAACTGCCGTTTACTGCCGTAGTTCTTGACTTGAGGGTGGGCCTTACATCATCCCCATCATCTCGGTGACTTGCTCTACGACGACGTCCACCACAGGCGCATCCTTTCTGTAGGAGCAAGAAGAAAATGAGAGCCAAACACTAACGATGTGTAGCCATGTTGACTGTAACGCACCCTTTCGTGGCCAAGTCGGCTCCTTCGACTGGAGGTAGCACTGGAGATCCCATGGAAGGAGGTGCGACGTGCTCTGGCGACGCAGCAATAGCCTGCTTCAGAGCGTGAGAACCTTCAACGGGAGCAGGTGGAGGTACTGGTGGCGCTTGGGCAGGGGCTGACGGAGCTGGAGCTGCACTCGTGGGAGCGACTGGTACAACTTGAGATGTCATCGGTGCAGGTGCAGTTGCAATTGCAGCAGGAATCGACGATGCAACGGAAGTGTCGGACGTAGTGGTCTGCATCACCTTGGTTGCTTCCTTCTGGGATGTGTTAAACGTAAACGACTGCATGCCGCCAGAGGCCGACGCAGAGCTGTCGGTGTACTTCACAAAACCAGAGTCCCGCGCAACCGGATTCACACATGCGCCCAACGACGCAGTGGCGCCAGGGACTTGCGGTTCGATGTCAATCACCCACGGCGCAACTTCTTCCTCTTGCTCTGAAATTAACAACCATTAGCTGACTGCAGGGATAGAATTTGGACCGACGCAAAACTCACGGAGAATGCGCCAGTTGGCACCTGTCTTGTTGGGGTCATTGAAGTCGTAGAGCTGCGACCAGTGGTTATTTGCTGGTTCCAACCGCGCGTCCGTAAAGTTCTGCAACCCATGTACAATGATCATATGAGTATCAACTTCGCAGAAACGCTGCAGACTAAGCCACACACCCGCTCAATGCCGCAGTAAGCACCGTTGAATGGAGCGAATGTCATCTGCTGCGACGTCTCGATGATCGGGTCTGTCAGCGAGTATAGGTAGATTGAGCAGCCCGAGCAGTCTCGTGTTCGAAGCTGCTTGCTGGTAACGACGCAGAAGCAAAGTGCACAGACTGTGAGATAGCACTTGGATACCAGAAAGCGCGTGCAGCTCTTACCACGCGATAGTAAAGACGCAATTACTGCAGTTTCGAACGAAAACGGACTCCGAACTTGGACCTACCACATTATTTGCAGCTCGTGAGTATGGTCTCATCGTAAAGCCATGTACTTTGCAAGGAACAAGCACTTACCGACGAAAACTCGGCAATTTGCCAGGTTGTCGATCTGCACCTGGTTAATGTGGTCCAGCAGCATGACCGTGCATCCCTCCAGGTCCGAGACGTCAAAAGGTTGTCTACCATATAGCAGCATCGTTATCATCATTGCAAAACCATTGGGTCTTTATTAAATTCAGCGACATACCCTTCGATCTGCCCAGGCAGCTTCATGAGCGTCTCGTCCTTCTTGTTACGGAACGTGTAGGTCAACTCGAACTCGTAGAGCCGCCATGCCGCTCGATCCTCGAACTGCTTGCCATCAGATGCGGTGAAGATCATCCTCCTATTTTTGCCTTTCCCGCTTGGCTGTCGATGCTCCAGAGACCAATTGATAAGTGCGTGTCCGTTATTACTCAACGTCGCATCATGATCGCATCGTGTGCACCACCCAAAACCACTGTGGCTCACATCTGGTTTAGTTTATTCAAAGGCGCAACATGGCGCGGCACGGCCACTTACAGTCGTCGCTGTTACGTGCGCTCCTTCTTCTTTTCCTGTCACTTTTCGCGTATGCAACCTATGTAACCAGCTACACCGACATACTCGCTAAAGCTTCAGCGAGCTCTAGCTCCGAAGACCCCGTAGAAGTCTCAGAATCCGCTGCTGTCGATCCCGTCTGCATCTCCGACAACGGCGAGTTTTCGTGTCCTGCACCGCCCCCTGCGCCTGCTCCTGCGGCGCCTTTAGACCCACATGACCGCCACATCGTTTTCGTGTCTATCGCTATCAAAGGACATGCACAACCGCTGCTCCGAGTGGCCAGCGAGATGAAAGAACGAGGATATCGAGTATCCTTCGCCACTCACGACTCGGGGCGGGAGTGGGCACACGCCTACGGTGTCCCCTTCCTATCAGCCGGAGCCTTTCCCATATCCGCTGAAGATCTGCGCGTCAAGCTCCGAGCTATGACGCGGGACGCCTCGAATTTCCGAGGAATTCTAACCATGTTTAACGATATTTACGTCCGAGCAGCAAGACCCATGTTCGACGCCCTGCTGCCTCAACTGGAACATAACGGGACCAATGCCAATGCGCCGGACATATTGGTGATGGATATCGCCACTGTGGGGGCCCAAGATCTCGCACATAAACTGAAAATCCCGTACATTCTGAACTCCCCTTCACTGCTATTTGATCTGGGAGGAGCGCCGAGTTATGTGCCTGCATGGGGCACAGGATTCAGCGAGAACATGTCACTCTGGAATCGGTGTATGAATATTCTATTCCCGAGGTTATTGTCAGTGGCATTAACCCCGCCGTTCATGGAGCTCAACAAGATGCGATATGAGCTGGACTTGCCACCGTTCCGATCCCAGCACGATTTGTTCAAAGGAGCTCGTGTTATTCTGAACACAGCATTCGGGCTTGAGCATCCACAACCTCTTTCTCCGCTCGTGGATGCTGTTGGACCGATAATGCCAGTACCAGGTGGAAATGCGAGCAAATTAGAACGCCACCCTCTTCCATCGGCGTTGCTGAGCTGGCTAGATGCGTCAATTGAATCAACACCGTCGTTGCGACTACGTCAGCGGACAGCATCGCATCGAGCCAAATCTACAGAGCAGGACCTTGAAGCAGCTGCTGGAGGTGTGGTGTACCTGAATCTGGGGACGATGGCGTACATTGATGCCTGGCAGGCTCAAGCACTCGTCGAAGGACTGCTCATGGGACCTGAAGACTCGCCTGTGAAGGTTCTATGGGTTCTTCCTACAGATCAACGTGGTAATTTACCACCTGCATTGCCGCCTTCTCTGGTTGTAAAGCCACCTAGCTCGTCGCTGTCGAACTTGGAAATCCTGAGTCATCCCGCTGTCAGACTGGTAGTTTCGCACTGTGGCATGGTATCGGCTCAAGAAGCACTTGTGATGGGCAAGCCGTTGCTGTGTATTCCCTTTTTGGTGGACCAACCGGACGTGGCGGCCCGTGTCGAGGATTCCGGAGCGGGTATTGCGCTGGACAAGAATCTTCTCTCGGGCCCGTACGTACACGCCGCAGTCAGTGAGTTACTCACGAATTCCTCGTATACTATGCCGCAAGAAGAGTGGGCTCTTTACTGGAAAGAGCTGGTGGCACCACGCGAGCTATTGACGTGATCGATGCTGCGCTACGATTGGGATTTGATCATTTGGCTACACTGAAACCTGACAGCTCCATGGCACAAGACCGCTCTACTTGACGTCTGGGCGGTCTACGCTGCTCTCATCTGTCTACTGGCTGTTTTCGTACGCATTCAGTGGCTTCTTCTCTTCATCTGGGTGTCCGAGAGCTTTAGTCTCCTCTCTAATTTGATCCTGGGGCCACCACTTCCTCCCTCGTCAATGGCTGAAGGATATGACGATGCATACGAAGACGGTGAAGACGCTGAAGAAGAGAGTGACACGTCGCAGCCCGCAAGTTAGTGCGGAGTTGCAGACCAAAACAATAAATACATTAACCACCCAACACTTCTACGCTCGACCTGTGAACGACTCATGACGATATGTTGGTGGAACTTCAATCGTTGAAGGGTCACAAGACCTGGAAACTTGTACCCCGCAAAGATGCCAAGAAAGTGAAGGTGATAACGTGTAGGTGGGTCTTTGCTGTGAAGCGAGATGAGCGTGGACGAATCAAACGTTTCAAGGCGCGACTAGTGATCCATGGATTCAAACAACAACTTGGGATTAACTACTCTGAGACCTATGCACCTGTGATCCGGTTCGAAACCATACGTGCGGCTATCTACTACGCTGTACAAAGAGGTTGGGAGGTGTTGCAATTTGACGTGAAGACGGCTTTTCTGTATGGAGACTTGGACGAGACTATCTTCATG